TAAGTACTGAACACTCCGTACCTGTATTATAATAGGGGCAAGAGAATCTTGTCGTTGTATATATAAGAGTGTTTCTTTTTGTTTTATGTCTTTTTATTTTTTTAAGTTTACGGAGAGTATCCGTAAACTGGTGGGGGGGAGTTAAGGTACGGAGCGGGACAGTATTAGCTTTAATACCAAAAGAATTTATGTAAACAACTTAGAATGTATATAGATAGAAGAATCAACTTTATTCTGGGACTACGTCCCTTGAGAATAACAATATTGTACATAAAATTAAACATTACATCTGGCCAAAATGTATATTACAATAAACAAAAACAAACAAACAAACAAAAAAAAACAACTAAAAAATAAGGGATAAAAGAAGTGTTTACATAACTGTACAGATATCGGAAGCCATAATATGAGAAATAATGTCCTAATACTGCAAAATAGTTGCTATACACAATACGCTATGAAATTATAAATGAGCGACAGATAATAATAAAGATGTTATAGTAATAGTAGTATGTTCGTAGAACATAATAGTATAATCGAAATACAATAATAGTGTAATCGTACATACACAATATATACACCCAATAATACAATAATAGTGAGAATACAATAATAGTACAATAGTATATATACTATATACATATATTAATATATATATACATATACATACATACACATATACATACATACAATGCAACAATAGTATAATAATACAATATAGGCTACCCAGCGTCTGATTGAATTGTAAGGAGGAATTGGAAAAGGAGGGTTTTAAATGTGGATAAGGATGGTGCATGGCGGATTTTAAGTGGGATGGAATTCCAAAATGTGGTGGATCGGACAATAAAGGAGTGTTGAAATGAGGTCGATTTGTGGAAAGGGGTATAAAGGTCGGAAGGACGAGATCTTGTGGAGAGGGAGTGGATAGATGACTTGAATTGAAGGAGATTGAATGCGTATGACGGACGATGATTATAGATTATTTGGTAAAGGAATGTACCTAGGAAGTACTGTCTTCTGAAGGAGGGGAAGAGCCACCCTGACTCGGCGTAGTAGTGGGAAACATGAGAACGTCTCGGGGTCCCATTGACAAATCGTACTAAGCCATTCATTATTCTTTTCAGTCTGACTCCAAGTTCCGATGAGAGGCCACCGTACACTACACAGCCGTAGTCAATGTGGGGGAAGATGAGGGCGGATACTAGGAGTCTACGTGTGGATATGGGTAGGAGATGGCGGAAGCGATGGAAGAGTTTCAGGATGGAAATTGAACGTCGGGATATGAGGGAAATATGGTGATTCCAGGAGAGGGTTTGATCTATGATAACACCTAAGTTTTTAACTGAAATGTTGAAGGTGATGGGTTGGTCATTCAGGTACAGGAGAGGAATGTTGGTATTTGATCTGAGAAGGGGTTTGGAACCGAGGACAATGGCTTGGGTTTTAGCAACGTTTAACCTTAATCCATTTTCACTTGCCCAGGCACAAATCCGATTTAGGTCTTCTTGTATTTTGGCAAACGCATCATGCCATTCAGAGGGAGCAATATATATAGAGGATTATAAGGAGGAATAAAGCAGTCTTGTTTCTGACTTCATGCGTGTTATTTGTTGAACCTTTACTCTTTTTTTTTAAGTGTTTAAAGCCCGCAACGTTTAACTTATATATATATATATATATATATATATATATATATATATATATATATATATAACGATAATTAATTTGAAAAAAAATATTATTTATTTATTTATTAACCAAACAAAAATGTAGAACATTAGATTAAATTTGCAATCTGCAAATTTATTTGCAATGAGCAATTTTTTTTGGCAGATTCACAGTTTCCCATCACGTCTGGGATATAAATCAGACCAGCAGGTCTCTTGGCCAACACCTACGTAATCGTCGTAGTGGGCTGTACTGGTTTCTTGTAAGATGAAGGATTTCTGTCAGAGGATTCATGTTGTACGGTCAACTATCCTTCGCAACACTTTTGACAGAAAGAACTGAATTTATTTTAAGGTTGGAAGTTTTACCAGAACCCCACAGTTCTATGCCGTAAGTCCAAATAGGTTTAAATTAAACTTTATAAAGGGTTAGTTTGTTAGTTAAAGATAACTTTGAACGTCTGTCTAGTAATCTGGATAAAGGACTGCATGGTCTGTTCTATTCGTTTTTATCTAATGTGAGTCCTCCAAGTCTTTTGTCCAGGTAAAAACCTAAATACCTCTGATGGTTCGAAATCCGATGATGCTGCGGATTGTTCGTTTGTTACCCATAACTCCACGCATAAAATAAAATTACATAGACTGAACAGCATATACACAGCGGAACTTCACGCAATATCTTCAGCCCTCCACTTCTGCATGTCAATAACTCCAGCTTCGATAGTTTTGATAACAGACTCCTTGAGTTTAAATGATATGTACTCAAAACATCCAGTTATCCATAAAATACACAAATATCTTCACACTCTGGAAAATTTAGGTTAATCGGTTTGTTTTATATGGGTTCCAAGTCACGTGGGTTTATTTGGTAATGAGCTTGCGGATACGGCAGCCAAACAAGCACTCGCGCTTCCAGACCGAGGTATTCCTATCCTGATCCCTCCAGAAATGAGTTTTCCTCTCAAAAAAGAAATATTGGATAGTTGGCAGTCTATGTGGAACGAAAGCCTGCCTAGCAAATTAAAAGTTGTTAAAAAATCAGTTAAGCCCTGGATCACATCAAACCGCCCTAATCGTAGAAGTCGCTGTGACCAGGTTAAGAATAGGACACAAGAAACTAACTCATGTACATCTCATCACCAAGCAGCCACCACCAAATTGTCAGCATTGCAATAGCCTTCTCATAGTCAACAAAACTTGCAAGAGTGCACTTATTATACTTCAAGCCTAAATCGATTATCTCTAAAACCGGATATATCAGCAGTATTAAACAACGACGAATCAAACATAGGAACCGTGATAAAATTTCTTAAACTCCATAGACTATTAAATAAAATATAAAAATAGATATAATTTGTATTTTATTGTTCTTTTTTTGTAGTTATTTTAATATATTTCATTTTTTATATGTTTTTAAATATCTTTTTCATATACCACTATATCTATCTATTATTAATTTTTGGTTGTTCATTTTTTTTTTTCTATTTCTCCTCTAAAGAGTTCACAAACATAACTGATTCACAGGCGTTGATGACCTTGGGGTTTTACGCCTTAAAGCCTGAATAAACAAACAAACCTAAATACCTAATTACATCTAAAGTTGAGATTTTAATGTTAATAAAATATATTTCAGAGGAAGGTTTATGATTAAGCGTGAATACTACATGCAAACTTTTTTTTTTCATTCATCTTAATTTTCCGCCTTGTGGCCCAAACAGCAATATCGTTCAGATGATTTTGAAGAGTGGTAGAGGCTGGAACAGGATTTTTATGTGAGCTGAGGATTGCGGTATCCTCTGCAAAAGTAGCCAGTATTGTACAGTCTGACATATATATATTAAACAATATTGGTCCAATGACTTTGCCCAGTAAACATCAGGATGTCTGAGAGGATGTGAGACATCATGATGCTGTAGAATCCGTTAGGTTATATTCCAAAGTGGTTTCTCACAAATTGCTAAACCATTCAAGAAGTTGTCAACATTTTCTGTCTTTGAACTTCTTATTTCATAGTGAAGTTGTCGAGTTAGTTTGTTAAACTTGTGTTTATCAGATGGGTAACGAGTTGTTTGCCATATATTACGAGCTTTTCGTTATTGTACGATGAGACGTCTTATCTCCGGTGAAATGTAATTATGGTCATGTTGGTGTGTCTTTTTGTTAGAGATGTTAGAAGCCCATGCTGAATTTTGTATTGTTTGTGTGAGGTGATGAACTGCGTCGTCTAAGTCTTCAGGCGTTCTTATATTAGTATCCAGTGATAATGAATTTTCAATGAAGTTTTGATGATAGGTTTTGAGTCTACCGTTAGAAGAAGATTCGAAGCATTCTGTAAGGCAAAGTGACTAAATTTCATTAGAGTTCCCATAATACCTAATGAAAGATTAATTGGTAATTGGTATTCAAGGATTTTTGCTACTTGGAACGTTCCAAACTTTCTTTTTTTTTCTGACGCCTCTTGGCTTATTGACGTCCGTCATCAGTCCTCTTGCAGCTACAGGATTGATCTAGGCGACAGTTGTGATCGTTTGGTTCTCGTGTACTCGTATAGATATCCAGGAAGCACGGAGTTTATAAATAACCGGAGGCTATCACTGATCACTCTCTCTTCAACAGGATGGTTGGCAACCTTTTGGAGACTTCTCCATTCTGTTCTATTTTACGGGATAGGATTGATGGCCCCGTTACCATCCCCATGCGGGAATCGATCCCGCGCCGTAATGGTCTAAGCAATCGATTAAGGAATACATTTATTTTATTTATTATTAATCATTTTTATTTTTTATCTTTTTTGTTTTTGTTTTAAATCCAGCGAACGGTATTTAAACTCGCAACTTAAAATGTCTGCGGGCTAAACTCGCTCGACCACCACGGTACCAAATATAAGTATATTTTGAATACACTATGATAATAATAAAATACAGAATTAAATTTTACTACATTTAGTAATACAATTAATAACATCTATTACACTGCTATGTATAGTAACACATAGGCACATTTTTGAATAGAAGTATTGAATATAAGAATAATTATAAAATAAATAGGAAAATTACTTTTTTCTAAGCATTTGGTGAATGAAGCTGTCTCTAAGAATTTGGTGAAAGAAAGTGTCCAGTTGAATATTTTGACTTATTTCATCATTCTTTCTCATTCAAACGTTAGATGAACATATATTCAACAATGTGATTATTAAACAAGAAATACAGGATATTATATAGATAACGATAGAGGGGTTTCTGAAAGAAATGTTTAAAGAATTTAATTGTGGCAATTAAATAATAAACAATATTGTTTAACTAACAATTATTACGGGGAGGCATAAAGATAGTTATCAGGAAACAAACAACCGGAGTCCCAGCACTACCAACACTCAGTATCCTCACATGACAGGGATTTCGCCATGTTCCTACTTCTCCTCCTTTTCTTTTCGTCCACCAATGGATATGACCGATTAAGAAAAGATATTTATCCGACTAAATATCATCTGACGCTCCAGCCAAGTTTTGAAGGGGACTTTACTTATCATGGTAAGTTTTTACAATTTTTTTTTAAAATTATTACTGGATACCTAAAATGATTATTTCTATCACAAAAATAAGCTAATACTTAACATGTTAATTTTTTTATACAAAATATTGAAATAGAAGAAACTTTTAGAAGGCATTGGTTATTGATATTCTCGAGCTTATATACACACACAATTTTTTTCTATCCATTTATATTTTCTTATACAAATATTTATTATGAATATCCTTGTTTTAACGTTAAGATTATTTAATATAGAGAATAATATTTTAAAAAGCCGTACAACGGAATTATTATTCCAATAATAATCTATATTGATCATATTTGCGTATATCTTTTTACCTCTCCCCCTTTTTTTTTATTTAATATTTTTATCGAATTTAATCAATATTTAATAAAATTTTCATAAGAAAAACTTCATTTACATAGCTGTTAGTAGGATATTGTAAATGGAAAAAATAATGGAATTACATAATAATATCTAGCCAGGAAGAGGTGTAGCTGGGTACTGTTCCCCCTACTACTTCTCATGCCATTTTGTCCCGTACAATTAATCCACTGACTATTATTTACAGTTGAGAAAAAAGACTGCAAGTAAAAACCAAAACATATACTAAGTTTTAGTAAAGTTATCACACCAGGTTATATAATGTGACAAAACATTCAAGTTAATCATATTTAATATGTGTGTTGATTTCGCTGTAATAAAACGTAAAAAAAAGCCTTACATTTGTATCTGCTCTTGACTTATTAATAATCATATTAAACGATTTAAGACTGATGTTGCATTACTGACCAAAGTAAACAATCACTAACTTTAAATGACACTCGTAACTTTTATGTATCTTTTTAAATAATAAAAATTAGCAATTATACTTAATTAATAATATTTTTTAAATCAATGTAAAGATTTTCTCTGAACTAAGTTATATATTTTCCTTTAATCCAAAAAGAACGTATAAACTTTTCGTACATTTTAATAATGATTAGCTTCTGAGGAAGTAAGATTTATTTTTTTTTTTTTAACTTTATTTCTATATCCACACCTGTCACTTACATCGTGACAATAAACAGATATGTTATAAATTTAATACATGAAATAAAGTAATCAGGGAATTTTTTTGTGTGTGTCCCTAAAATATTGTAATAAACAAAAAGAATACATATACGGATTTTTAGTGATTTTCTATATCAGATTAATTAGGGAAAAAACATTATTATTATTTCTAAATCATAAAATAATCGAATGAATTAAAAAAATATCTGGATAGAAAAAGATAAAAAAGAACATTTACCGATATTTCTTAACGTTTGTGTATTATTTTAATTGTCTAAAATATTTTGAAAAAAATTGATGTAAACTTCTTAGAAAACTTTAAATCATTTTACAATAAGAAATATCTTTTCTTTGATGGAATTAATTTTTAAAATTTTGCAGATATTTTTATTTCAAGATTTTCATTGTTTTAATTCAAATTCTTAACAAACAAAAATTTTCGACAAAAAATAGTTTTCAATGTGTAGTATGCTTTCTATTCTTAATTCTCATAAAAGTCAAAAACATTAAGACTTTAAACACAAACTTCCTTAGCGATTGAAAGTTTTTGTTGCATTTATTCCTTTAAGTTCCTGTTAAAATTCAAAACATTTCTCTAAGACCTGTCCTATATATTTTTTCTGTTACGTCAATTATTTTTGTTTTATTATTTATTTTGTAAAATACACAAATATTCAAGAATGTTTTTACAAATAATACTATAACACAATTCATAACCAAATATTTTTAATCAAACCTCTGAAAAAAAAGAGTAAATATTCTAAATTTCCGTAGGATAAACAGACAATAGAAATAGGATTTAGATAAGTGAAACTAAGAGATAAAGACCGTGAAATGCTATAAATTATTTCTTCTTTGGATGAAAGGATTTTTTACCTCAATAATTTAATTCATTGTATTAAAAATGAAAAATATTACAAAATTCTATCTTAAGAGCCTATGATTAAGGATTATTAATTATCTATCGAAACATTGACCAGTATTTATGAATTTTTCAAATAAACTATTTATGATAACTTAAAAGAATTTTTCAATTCAAAAAAATAGGAGTGGTAGGCTAAAGAACTTATCACTGTATAAATAAATTTCTAAATAAATTTATGACTGTTATTTATAACGGAGATAAAAGGCTTGGTTTTCTATATGGAACTCAAGTGGTCGCCCTTAAAATAATTATAAAACAATTAAAAAAAGTTTTTATGTACTCATAAAAAAAAGGTAGGAAAACGATGCTTATGTGTCTAAAGTTTGAGTAATAAATTCTCCCACGTTCAGAATCAAATGGGTACAAATAGCGAATGGGTAAAATCGATGTATTGGAAGCATCGATCTATAAAAACTTTGGTACAACACTTCTACAATTTACTAATATCATTATATAAAAGGGCAAACACAAAACGGTTCAGCCCCTTTTTCTCCTCTATTACTCAACCAATTTTCTTTCTATAAATAAATGAAAATATGAAATAGTGTATGTAAATAAAAATATAAATGGTAGTTTGTTCAAAACAGCTAATATCCGAAAGTTCATCACCGATTTCTTTGAAATTTTGACAATTCGCAATAATATTTAGGAGTGTTTTGGTATACGTTTCATTATCATCAGGCCTTTCCTTCCTAAATGGCGGCCGAAAAACGTGATTCGCTCTATACTGTATCGCCAATACGGCTGCAACGATTTTAATGAAACTTGGCTAAAGTCTTCAACTTGAAACATTTATAATTTATGTATATAACATACTTTCCGAAAAGAAGCTGCATAAATTTTTATGATGAATTCAGTATTTTATTTGCGAATTACTCAAAAAGTACCCATTTTATTGATAGTATCAATTAGAAAGCTTCCTGAATTTCCTACAAAATAAAAAACAAATCATCGGAATCGGACTATTTGTTGCAGAGATATATCATTTTAAACATTTAGTACTTTTTCTTTTGCAAAGACGATTTCCATTATTTTGGTTATTGATAAATCGAAAACTTTGCATTTAATCAATTAATCGTGAGTATTATATGAAGAGTTGAAATTTTGAATGTTAGTGGAATGTTACCTCATAAATTAAATTTAAAAGTAAATTCTATAGTATACTCATTCTTAAATTAAATACTGCAGAAGCATTAGTTAATGGAAGACGAATGAGAGTGAATCACTAACGGGACCAACTTTGAATAAAAGAATTTTAATTCCCAGAATTAAATTAATATTTTCTGACACAATACTTCCATTCGAATTTCAAAGAATGACGTTCTTATTAATAGTTGCATTTACTATGACCATAATCAAATCGCAGGGTCAAAGTTTTGGAAAAATTTGTGTATTATTGCGACGTCCAGTAATTTTGCAAGAACAATTATATTAGGCAGCGAGTAGAGCACGTTCGTTTAAAATTTTGAAATTTGATAATAATACCAATGGCAATGGGCAAGGCTATGTACTAACTAATAACATAACATCTTTTACACAAAAATTTTTACTTTTAATTTTTATTTTTTACTTGCTTAATTATAACATTAATTTATTGTAATAATAACACACATAAATTAAAATGGAAATTAAATATTTTTTAATGAGTCTATTTTGTATTATAAATAATTTTAATTAGTTTAAACTCGATTTTTAATTTAAATTTAAATTTTGCATTTATTAATAAATGAGGATTTTCAAATCGTGATTTACTCTTTATTTATTGAATTTATATTGCATTTAATTATATGTTTCCTCGAATTTTTAATAATTATGGTCAAATTTCGACCACTGAGCGAGCACCAGTTTTATTAAAACAACGAAAAATTGAATTAATATTGGAACAACTTGAGCCGTTTTCGAAATATAGCTAGTGAAGAAAAATATATTTACGTAAGAGAAATTAACGATTGAAATCTGCCATAGGACCTTTCAGGTATAAACCTCTAAAAATGTCATCAAAATTAGATTGAAGATTCCATGCCCGTCGCATGAACAAAAAAATCATACACGAAACCACCTTGGTCTCTAAAGCGTAAAACGAAAGTGGAAATTTTTTGTTCTGCAATTCTCTCATTTCCTAAATTGACACAGGACATCCTCCACGCGTTTTTCACATTGAATAATTCCTATTAACATTCTATTGCAGCAACTTATAATTCGAAAGAGGTAAAAGTATTTTTCAGGGATTCAAACACAAAAAATAACTTTTATTTTTTACTGTCGATAGTTTTTCAGTTCTTTTGGAACATTTCAAGTAAGGATTTTACAGAACTTTTATTTTTAAAAAACTTTTACTTAAAACTTCTATCAATTTCACTAAAAAAAGCTTATCTAAAACATGATTTTGATTCATATCTACTCAAACAAACGACACATTAGAATTATGTGTAATTCATTAGAGACAAATTATGATTCTAATATAAGCCCAATTATTGTTTAATTCTCATTTAACGGAACTTTTTTAATAACCTCAATAAATTCAAGTTAAACTTTTCCGTAAACCTGGAGCTTAATCACTGAAAAGTACCATAGAACATTTATTTTAAGAACTTTGTTTCTAGAAGGTTTCATAGAAACTATTAAAATAAACCTTTTTCAATCCCTGGTATTTTTATATTCCTGTTATCCTTGCTAGTTTTTGTTGTCCAAAACAGACGTCACAGGGGTATGCTCAGAAAATTTAGGTGGGTTGATCATACATTAAGGAGGAAGGAAGGCATCGCTCATGAAGCTCTCGAATGAAAAACTCCTCGGGGACAACGTTGAGGTGGCACACTGAGGAAGACTTCCAGGTTTCCTGTCCTTGAAGAGACTAGGAGACAAAGTCATACCTGTACCATCATCAAGGAGATGGCTACAGACATAGACCAGTGGTGTCACTTTATCAAGGTCCTAGGGTCCTATGGTGGGATAATGACTATAATAAAAAAAAATATTGTAATGTCTGCCCATTTTAATTTTCTAATTTTATCGATCATTATTTATTTAAATTAAAAAGGGAATAAGGAAGTCATTTTCCCAAAAACCACAAAAATTGTGGTAACTTCAATGTGACTCCAGCAATCAACACGAAACAGATTTTAAGATCCTGTAAACTATAAGAAATGGCACTAACTTCCTTTCTAAACAACATAGAATCAGAGAATAAAATAACATTGTCTAAAGATTTTTTTCTTTATTTTGTTTTTATTAGAGCATAACACCTAAGTTATTGTTATGGATTGGAACAGTAGAAGTTTTCCAATGGTTGTGATAACGTTGAATTTGAAGAGTTATAAATTGGTATGTCCATAACAGGAAAAAAAAAAAAAAAAAATCAAGACCAAAAATGTATATAAATTTTCTGTTTTCGTAAACATTATTATTCACGGTTTTAACAAACGGGTTTAAATGAAATTTGTTGTGAAAATTATGAATTTGGTTGACAAAATTATGAGATTAATAGAAAAACCTATGAATTTCACTGAAAAAAGCTAAAGACTTATATAAAAAAAAAACAACAATAATGTCCTCGGTAATCTATTATTAAAATTAATCAAAAATTATAAAAATATTCCTTTTTAATTGTAGTACATAAATTACACTACATTAACAAATTTAAAATAAAAATGGAAACAATTTTTAAATTTGTTCATTGTGTCTGCGAATAGATAAATAAAAGGTATCTATACAAGATATGATTTTTAGAAAATTCTGATCCGTCAATTAGAATATTTTCGGAAGAATTAGAATATCGGTCAATTATAAAAAAAATATCTTTGAAATACTTTTATTCTTTTTCATTACATAACACATAGTTAGTTGTATAGACTGAATAAAAAAGGAAAGAAAAAAAAAGAGGGTTCTATTTGATATGGCCAAGAATAAATTTAAAGACATGTCTGGAATAATGCAATTTTTTTATTTCCTCTAACTAATTATTTTTCTACTCTATTTTTTTTAAATATTTTATATGGATTTTATTATCATTCAATAATATCCATATAAAAAAATATATATTTCACTAACTTCCTAATTGTTTAAAAGTTTGATTATTATTCTATTTTTCAAAATAAGTATATGTCCAATTATATATTTGGGAGTATGCAATGAAAACATTGCCTTTCTAAGATATATGAGTGGCATCATATCAAAGATGGACAAATATAGTTTTCAGAAAATAAAAAAAACCTCAATTTTTATTTTATAAGTTCAACTAATACTGTTTCTGATTGTTTTATTTAAAAATTTTCACATTGAATCATGAAAATAAATCATTAGAATTGATTCAATTTGAAACTATGTTTCAATAATTAGCCTTTTTTTAACTTTTTAAAAATGGCAGGTGTCCACCTTTGATATGAAGCCACTCATATGATTAACCTTCTAATCCCATAAGATTGAGATATTATTATGATTTCAATTTATCCTTATATCAGATGAAAAATAATTTTTGTAAAATTTAGGAAACAGCAGATTTAACTGCTAGAATTAGTGTAGTTTTTCACTATTATAATAAAAAATTCTGTGATACCACGAATGTCAGGAAAATTAATGATGTGGAATAATTCATTTTTTGAATCTGCTGGCTAAGTTTGTTTTAAACAATTCAGAATTGGTGGCATTTGCTTCAAAAATAAGTTCAATTTTTCTATCAGGAAGTATCTCATTATGCTATTAATCATAGTATTTGTTTGTGAGAGGAAATGCAAATATGTTAGTTTTATTTAAATGGCTCAGTGATGTGTTAAAGTCACTGACTTTAAATGATGGTGGATATTTTAAGGACTAAATTTCAAAGATGTGTAATCTATCAATTTCTTGACATGAAAGTAAAAATCCATTGGCTTTCTGGTTTACACACCAGTAAACAAAATTGAGGAATAAACATGTAATTATTGTTCTGACATGGAAAACTCTGATTCTTATTTGAGTGTATAATAATTGAATAATTGTTTAAGGTGACCTGAGCATCCACTTGGTTGTAAATGATACAGACACTATTATATTAGACTGTGAGGATTTGAATGTGACATCAACTAGTTTGGTCTTCGATACGTTCTTTCAAGTCCCCGTCTCATATGAGCAAACAAATAACCAGCTTATCATAACTAGCAGAACTGTCTTAAGAAGTGCCTACCAAGTTGAGTTAAATATTACCTTTGATGGTCGAATTAGAAAGGATGTGGCTGGATTTTATTTGAGCACATATCAATTCGAAGGAAAGCAAAGGTATTTATCAATAATACCAATTTATCAATAATACATCAAAATATATGATAATAGGGTAAAACCCCCAGTTGTCAGGCAAACCCACCCAGTTTTTGGCACCCATTGCAATTATAATAATTATTCTGAAGGTTGTCAGTTTTTTTAGGATTTTGAAAATTGAGTAAGTGATGCGGAAAATTGAAAATTGGTGCCAAAAACTGGCGTATATATATATTTTGATATTAGAGACCTTTACTGACTTAACAGAACCAAAATTGTAGAACCAAGTGCTTATCTGATTGAAAACGGGCCAAACACATTTCAAAGTTTACTTAAGGGTGCTGACAACTGGGGTTTTAACCGATTACCTTGTGCCACATTGACTACTCTCAGACTAAAAAATTATCTTTCTTGTAAAGTCGCTTATAATCCATCATGCTCATTGAAAAACTGTTACTATTAAAGAAGATAATTAGAAATATAAGTAATTTGATTCAATACTATATTGTATCAATTCAATACCTTTGGCAAACTAAAAATGCAACTTCTTTTTACATTCATATCGATAATATATCACCAAGATATAAATATGTTTCTCTTCATTGTTTATTGTGAAATATTACATTCTGTCACATTCAAGGACATTAGCAATAGTGATAGAGTAGCTCATTCACACACTATGTACAATAAATAAAAATAAACTAAACAACAAAATGATAACATTAAAAGTAAATGTACATAAATAAAATAAAAACTAAAGTAATCTAAAAGACAGAAACTAGCATAAATACACACATGTTTTTATACAATAATTATAAAATTTATTCATTCAGAGAAACTCGAAGCCAAGCCTTTCCCTCTGCTCGTCGAAGGAACGACTTGGCTCACTCAGCCACATCACTGGTATTAAGGACCAGTGGAGGCTAAAAATATATTTCTAAAATTATTTAAAATCTTCTATGATTATTGCAGTACTTCTTTTAGGTACAATTGCTTAATACTTGTAGAAGGTCTAAATAAAGTTTATATATTGAATCATCGACTAATATTATTGATAAAAGTAATAAAATAAATGATTCTGTAATTTTGTAATTAATTACAGTAACCTTTTATTAAGTACATGTAACCTTTTACTACAGTTGAGTATGCAATTAGTTTTTGAAGTTTTGTTGCTCCAAACCTTTATGCCCTGTATGTATTATACTATACCAATAGCAAATAACAATTACTAATCTTCATTACTGCTAAACTAAGGCTTATTAAGTGTTACTTATTTTTTCTAGATTCTTGGGAAGTACTCAATTTCAAAGCAGTGATGCAAGGAAAGCTTTCCCATGTTTTGACGAACCATCATTCAGAGCTAATTTCAGTTTAGAAATAATAATTCATCCTAACATGAGTGCCATATCAAACCAACCAGCCATCTCCAATCATGTTATGTAATTATGATATTTAAATCTCCTGATTTATAATTTAAAATTATCGATTTTTGTGTGTAATTTAAAAAATAATTATTTTGTATATATCATTGCAGAAATGGAACGAGAAGGATTATATTTGCTGAGAGATCTTCGATACCAACATATCTTGTAGCCTGGATAATATATGAACCTGAGAGTTATGGATATGTTTCCAAAAACGTAACTACAAGCTGTGATCCAAACAGATCCCTGACTTATAGTCTCTGGTCTGACTTGACTTACAAAAATGAGACATCCCTGGCGCTCAATGCGGCTCCAGAAATGGTATCTGCTCTTGAAAATTTCACAGGTGAAGCATATAACATTATATCCCAGTAGTTACAGAAGTAAAAATAAGCAAAATGGGTAAAATAATAAAAAGTGATTTTAAAAAAAATTGAGCTACATATTGTTAGTTTAGTAATTTTTCAAAATAAAACTGTCAGTTTTCTAAAACTGAATTCAGACAGAAGTAAGCAACAGAGATGATAAATTTTTATAAGTTTTATAAACAATTGTAATCTCTATTCAAGCAGGCTAATCACTGCTAATATGTTTTGTCCAGCCTCAAGAAATCTCGTCTAAAATCTTCTAGGTTGTCATTTCTAGGCTAAAATGAAACAAGTTGAGGCAAGTAAACAGGGTATGCTGTGTTGTTATCAAAATGTAGGGTATCCTGGCTTTGTTTGTATTTTCAGTTCTTTACTCAACATAGAAATAAAAGGTGTTGACAACATATGATATAGTTGTTAGTTTAACACAGTCATTCTGATTTTTAAAAATCTAGAGATAAACAAAATGAAAAAGAATTTTCAAAATTCTGAATTAACTTAAATTTCAATTTTGAAAACTAGACTTTAAACTGAAATCTTTGAAGATTATCTTTAATTCAAACATTACAAAAATTAAATACTGGCTAGTAAATAAGTAAGATTTATAATTGTTAATTTTTAGACTTTAATATCTTTAAGGGCCACAATTTATATTATTGAATCAAAAACCTTTGTGATTATATTTTTTTATACTTTTAGTCTTGTGATTTCCCTTTGAAATACAATTAATTTTTCTAGTTTTTAGAAGCTATATAAAATAAATTTATTTAAATTAATCCATTCATGACTTATCCATGATCTTTGTGATTTATTTCATAGTTTTCTGGTTCTGTTTTTTTATAGGTGTTTCATGTGAAGCAGTAAAATACAAAATGGATTTGGCAGCTATACCTGATTTTCGGGCAGGCGCAATGGAAAATTGGGAAATCATAACCTTTCGGTAAAGTGTGAACAATGTGCAGGTCACAGTCATTGGCAAAAAAATTAAAATTTAAAACATTAATGTGCCTAATATATACATTTGTACATTCATCTGGTAATGGATTATAATTATACAAAAAATTTAATGTTTTAAAAAATGATATTAAATATTTTGTTTATAAGTCCTAAGCAACAGTTTATCCTCCCAAAATTTTTTATTTTATTTTTAGGACGTTTCGAGACCACTTTATTATCCCATCTTCAGACTAGAAACAAGAAACATGTTATTTGGATTTATATATTTTACATTGCATATATTTTTATAAATTATATCAATAACAGATTTGCCAATCTTACCTGTATTTCATCTTTCCATCTAATTCTTTCATCTAATTTTTTAAAAAAGAATTTTCATAGTTTTTATTTTTTATTAATCATCGCTAAGGAATTAATCTCCTCTCTACAGAGGAGTCGACAATATAATTAATGTAAATAAATTTATTATAGAATCCATGCTACTTTCATACAAATAATAATATAATACAGAAAAATTATTGCATTTTTAGGGATGTTTAATAAAAAAATAAAAACTATAACTTTAAAAAAAAAATAGATGATAGAAAGATGAGAGACAGGTAAGATTGGCAAATCCGTTATTGATATTATAATTTAGAAAAATATATGCAATGTAAAATATATATATACAAATAACAAAATGTTTCTTGTTTCTAGTCTGAAGATGGAATAATAAAGTGATCCCGAAACGTCATAAAAATAAAGAAAAAATTTTTTGGGTGAGTAAACTGTTACTTAAATTTATTCATATACCTTATATTAAATATTTATTTGGCTTTACAGTACTAAATTAAAGGTGAAATTTAAAATATGAGGAAGATTGAACATTAAATGAGGATAATTCTAGTATTATTTTATTGGTTATAATTATGACTATCATGTAATTATTATTAAAACTATTACAGAACAATGATATTAAAGGTTGAAGAGTATTTATACAGTGGTGTGAAAAAATCTTCAAACAAACCAAATTTTTATAAAAATGATAAATGTTGCAATTTAAAAGTATTTTTTCTTCTTAATTGCAAACTGATTTAACCTTGCACACTTTGCAGATGTAATTTATACTTAAAGTACCATTATTTTAAATTAATAACAAGCCAAGGGACCAATTCGTTTTGGTGACTTTTTTTTATTCTCTGAATAATGCTACCTAATTGTTTGAATTGCACTACTTTGTTATTCACTACAGTCTTTACATTTTATTTTTAATATAAAGAGTTGTATAAACTCTAGAAACTGAGTGTATCTGTGAACCTTTTTCTAATGTACTTTTATTTCACAAAAAAAGTAGCAATTTTTGTTACTCACATGATATTTTTAAAAAAGACCTTTGAAAAAATAATCGAACATTCAACATAAAGTTCAAAAATTAATAAAAAAATAAAAGGATGGCCGATTTCGAAACAAAATCTACCTTTTGAACAGTAGAAGTCTACTGAAGTTAACTGTCTCTACATTCTATAAAAAAATATATTCATAATGATGGATAGTGCACCAAAAAGATTGGAGAAACACAAGGAGTTAATAATGAGATATTTTTCCAAACAAATATTAATAGTTCTAGAAGTTATCAAAAAATAGATTGAATCAGATAGTGTTTTGTGAGAAATAAATCAATCACTTGCAATACCAATTTATGAACAATCGTGAATGTTTTGGTTATTTTTACAACAGTTACTAGTTGAGTTATCCTTAAAGATTAGTGTCAAATAATAATTTCAACATTATTTTGCATGATATTAGAGTAACAATTTTATTTTTTTTACTTTTGAAATTTCTTTGGATTTTAAATTTTTCTAATAAGTTTCTTGTAATATTAAACATTTAAAATTTGTTTCTATTTAATTAGGGAAAGTGCTCTACTTTACAACAATCTAACTTCTTCAGTAAATGACAAGCAATTAACCCTAATGATTGTGGCCCATGAGCTAGTTCATCATTGGTTTGGGGACTTGGTGACCCTAGAATGGTGGAGCTATTCTTGGCTCAATGAAGGATTTGCAAGATATTTGCAATATGTTGCGACTGATCAGGTAAAAGTTATCACAAAAAAGTTCATAATACAATTAAATATTTCCTCATTAACTATTTTTCATATTATTTATTCTTTAATCTCCATTATAATGAAGAAAAAAACAGATTATTATATAGCTAGCCATTTTTAATAAAGTCACTGAAAAAATAATTTTATGACATGCGTATTACACCAAAAAGTAGAAATTCTGGTATAATCCACCGGGGCTGGTATAATCCAGTAGAATCAGCAAAGTGTCACGGTGAAATATTGTGATAACCAGAATTCTAGGTAGGATCCCGATTACGTATGATATGGTAGGGCAGAATGATTCCCTCATTATTAAGGAATGCCTATATATTTGAGGTAAATAAAAATACTGCATTATAATTATTTTAATATACATAAAATAATTGAGTTAATATTGTTACAGTTGTATCCTGACATGAACCTGATGGAACAATTTTTGGTAGACCGCCGACAAACTGCTTTAGAAGCTGATAGCCCTCGAGCTCATCCACTCACCAATAACAATATTATTTCTGAAGAGGATATAGATTACATGTTTGATGAAATAACATATGACAAAGGTACGAAGATGGAGTATTTGTAAACCGTAGATAAAATAAAGACAGTGGTTTGGAGTGTACTCAGAAATAAAATACGTCATAGTGTTACAATTGCTTAATGTGTGCCAACATTTTGGCATTAATTGTAGGGCTTTATCAGGATTAAACAGTTATTACATAAACAGCTATAACATTTTTCAGTAGTCATTAACTATTAAGATATTGTTTTATTCTAATAAAAATTGGTTTTGATCACTAAGCATTTAAATTTATTGGATGCTTAATTTATACAATTTTTATTTGAGAATTTTTTTTTCTTTCACCAATGAAAATGTTTTAATAAAAAAAAAAGACTAAAATATTCAAATGAATTAAATATTTAAATTTAAAACATTTTGAAATAAAATAATTTACTTTATGAATTCAAGGAGCCTCTGTGATCCACATGTGGCGATCAACAATAGGTGATGAACAATTTAGGAGAGGGCTAAAGAATTATCTAAATAATGTAGTGAGGTAATGATTTGTTTTATAATAAAAATGTTAGATTCTTAATGTGTACTTAATATTGTTTTTGCGATTACACTGTTATGCATCCCCTACTTCTCTCACATAAAATTTAATTTATTTTTAATTTTAGATGAATTTTTTAACAATCCTTAGATGTAAAATATATCGTTGACACCATATTAAAGTAACGAATGTGAGCCTGTTTTACATTGCACATTTATTACATCAACATGGCGCCAACGATATGCAAGTTTTCCCTAAAATTGTACTTACAAAGCGATAAAAATGGTTAGGCTTGTTCATAGTACTGGGTTGTCATAAAATTTGTATGCATCAAATAATTATTATTTCAATTCAAATATATCAGCACATCAAAATTAATGTCTGAAATATAAACCGTCATTTTCAATTAATTATTCCTCTTTATTAATTAATTAGTCCTTATTTTTTAAGATAAAAAATCTCTCACATCCTGATTTGACATCTTCATTAATGATGAGCCAGACTTTCAAAAAATGTACCAATTACCAGAAAAGATTTCAGACTGAATGCAATGTCAGGGCAGTAAGGGGGAGAGGAGGAGAGGGAGGAAAGGGGGGAGGGAGGGAGTGGAGCAAAGTGATAACACTTCCATTTTTGAGAGTTTTTCTTTGACTCGATGATGAGCTTGCTGAAATATTGTATTATTCTGATTGAGGGAAACAAGGTATTTTTTGTTTAAAACTCCTTACAATCTTTCAACTTGTTCAAAATAAAGTTCAATGTCAATAACTCTTCCATCTGGAACTAGCTCAAAGTGTAATACACCAACGTAATTCTACCAAACACAAAACATAATCTCTTTCTCCCGAATTGATCTTTGCACACTTCAAGCCCTAAGCTCAAGCTCAAGACTTGCTTGAACGTCTTAGCTTTGTGATAATTACTGTTTTCATATAGGATTTTTTGAAATTTTCATTTTCCATCACTTGTCCTAATGTCGAAACTCTTATTTTCGGTGACAAACCTAAAATGGTAACTAAAAAATCCTGACATAGAGACTCTGATAATTCAGGATCAATCACATATCAAGAGCTCTCTCATTTAAAGCTCATCTTGAAGGCTGGTGTTCTCATAATTTATCTGCCTAAATCGCTGTAATCTTAAAATACACCACACTTTCATCTCCACTACACAAATTTCATGAGCAATTGACCTTACAGTTAATTCTCTTTTATATTAGTGCCTCAGAAGACCACATATGACAATCTTTTCCTTTGACTATTTTGGTGAACTTTATAAAACGTAATGAATGGGAGAGTCACTCCGTAAACATAAAGGATTAGTCAATATAAACAACATTATGTGTATTGTTTACATCAGAGGCGTATAAGGATTAAATTGAAAATTTTAATAGCAGATATACAATAATTCACAGACTTTTGTAACAAGCTAGTACTGAGTAATAAAGAAAAAAAAAATAGAAATTATATTACTAAAATCAATGAACAATTTCAAAAGTTTACAACTATCATATTACAATACACTTAGACATTCTAACTATTATTTTAATTTTGGGTATTTATACTTTATTGAATAAACAACATGCTAATTTGTTAAGTTTGGAAAAATAATATTTTAGTTTAAAAGTGATCATATATAAAAAATTCATAAATATTAAAATAATAAAGTCTCTTATACTTTGTTGTAGGTTGGGTGGAGTGTCTGAACCTGGATACTTGTTCTCTGCACTTTTTAGCGACACTACTTGGAACAATAATCAACTTGGATCAACATGGACATTGCAAAATGGATATCCTATAGTAGTAGCAACAGAAAGCAACTCAACCCTGACACTAAGACAGATCAAGGTAATTTACAAGTAATAAAAAAAAGAAAAATTGGTAGAGAATTTAATCAAGATTTTATTTGAATTCTGACATGTTGTTACGTAGATTTATATTCTATTTCATTTTCAATTTCATCTTACAAGCATTCATACTTTGAATTCCATATCACAGATTAGCATAGAAACATTGATCTTTTATTTTATTAAAAAGTGATCAATCGACAAATAATACACAATGATTAATGTCACTAAGAAAAAAATATGTATGAAAATAAATAAACATGTTTACATTTTAGGTTACTGGATGGAATACTACTGAAGAGGGACAGTGGTTAATCCCCATTACTATTACTAAAAATAATAATAGTACATTTTCATACAATTTAGAGCCGGATAGCACACTGCAAATTCCACTTGACCCAAACACAACTTATATTATTAACTCAAATCAAAGTGGTAAGTGACACTAGGAGCTTCTAATAATATTTCATTTGACCATTAAAAAAATTATATTTATTTATCTGAAAAGTCTTGGAACTGTGGCACTTTTATTGTTATCATAAAAATAATTATATTTCTTGGTCGAGTTAAATATTTCATAGTTTATACCAATTATACTTATATAATTCGGAATTAGGCATATTAAAAATAACTACTGGTATCAGATTATTAATCTTTATTTAGGTTTCTACAGAGTGATGTACCACAATATTAGCCGATGGCTTCCGACTGTAACAACAGATCTAACAAGGTCAATGCTCATCAATGATGCCATGGCGCTATCTAAAGCTGGTCTTCTTCCTTATCGGACCTCAATGTCTCTGGTCTCTCATCATTTGAATGGCTATGGATATCTTCCATGGACATCAGCTTTAAGGGCATTTTCGATGGTAGATGATATTCTGCAAACTTCTGAACTTGGGCCAAGATGGAGAGTGAGTACTGAGTTAATTTATTAAATTAAGTTATCAATGTTTATAAAAATTATTTTTAATTGTCAATTTACTTTTTTTCAACAGGAGTTGGTACTTAATTTAATGGACAATGTAATGAGAAATGTAGCACTTAACAATTCCCTTTCTGAAACTCATATTTTGAAGCTCCATAAAATGAATTTACTAAGATATGGTTGTAAGTTCGAAAATATAGGTTGTCTGATTGAAGCTGGTAAATTAGCATCAAATCTAAGGTAAGTTAATATATGTAAGAAAAAGAAATATTTACTCGAATTCCAGCAATCTAAAAAGGCTTAGTTATATTTTCATGAGTAATACAATCAAATATTCATAGGTAAACAAAGATTGATATCATTATGAAAAGAAAAAAAATTTTTGATTTTGAAAAATTTATATATAAAGCGAAATTGCATTGTTTTATTTTATTTATTTAGTAACTTAGAAAAAATATGATACAAATTGTTTCTAAATATATATCTCATAAATCTGACAAAATATTTTTTAGCTACGGAACACCAGAAATGCGTGATGCTCTACTTTGTACAGTAGCAAGAATAGGCAACGAATCAATTTGGAACCAGATTTTTATAAGATACAACACATCAAATTCTCCAACTGAAAAGCTGTCATACTTGAAAGCACTTTCGTGCACTAAAGATAGATCTATTATAAAGAAGTTAGTACAATTTTATTTTAATGAAATTAACAAAAAGATTTTTTATTCGTTGGGACTGGATTTGCATGCAACCAAAAATTGTAAAGCATACCATGCAATAAAATGGAATTGCTTACTTACTCTTTCATATTCATTGACACTTTCCTTTCAGTTTTACATTGATATCTTAATTTATCTATTTGACAGGAAATCAATTGCTTTGATGATCTATATTTGCAATAATATCACAGACTATATGATTGCTTCATATTAAAAGTATATTTAATATACTCATATTAAGTATATTGTAGTTGAATTGTTGAAAAATCTATTAACTAAAAGTTAATTAATTTCATTATTTATATTTTTTAAACTAAGGCTTTGATTACTCTTTATTTAAAGTTATGATTAAAAAGCACTCATGGTGAAATGTTTTAAAAAAATTCTTGAATAAAATAATTAAAATGATTAGATAACATATTTTTACATTAAAAATTTCAAAATACATATGAGTGTTCAAAATATAAATGTTCCTAAAAAAATAAATAAACAAATAAAGCCTGTGCCACTAAAACTCATGAAGGGTTAAGTACTTACATTAGAAACAAAGTACTATTCCTAGCCCAAGAGATTGTAGGCTCAACGAGAGTGAATTGCCCAGAATCATGCTCAACTTGTCTGCCGATTAGGGGAAAGAGGGGCTAAGATCTCCTGACCATAGGGTCAAACCATGGTTAATGTAACATAATAAATAATTAAACCTAGCCTCTGGAGATAAGGGAAATTCAATATTTAAAATTATAAAATATTCAAAATAAAAACGGCTCAAATCGCCGGGGAAAAAAAATCTGGCAAACTAAAAAGGTTTCTTTTCTCCTTTCGATAACTTTTCATTTCCTTCAGCTTAAAAATAAAATTATTTATGCAATGAATAGTAAATCCAGTCTCTCCCAATAAGAAAATAACTATGAAATATTGTAATCGATTAAGAGTTAAAATAAGACAAGAACCGAGATATTACCAATCTGTTCACTTACAACAGAATACAAACTATCTTTTTATTTCAGATTCCTTGAAATGCTGCTAACACCAGTAATAAGGAAACATGACATTACTTCAACTGCAGTACTAATTGCTAGTTCTCCAGAAGGAGCAGAGGAAGTACTAAATTTCATTAAAAACAATTATCAACAGCTTCTGAATTAGTAAGCCACTATACCATCAATATTAATAATTTGTGTTTTTAAATTGGTCATTTTTCAACTATTTTTAAAATTTTAATTCTGTTAACTAGTGTGAACAAGCCAAAAAGAATTAAAGATGTGTTGTCGGCAGCAACTAAATATGTCAACGATTCACAATTAGCTGAAGTAAGTAAAAATATCTAGACTAACAATTTTATTATTTAAATCTTTTTTAAAAAGATATTTTCCAAAAATTAATGACATAATGAAATCACTTGCGTTTTATTACATCAAGTTTGTTGTATTAGAACATAAGATATGAAGCATAACCAATTTACTTTCGTGGATCATTAGGGAGCTGAACACCTGCTTATGAGCAACATATGCATGATACCACAGCACAAAACAATATTTTACTTCAGTATACATGCAACTTCAGTATATCTACGTAAAAAACATTTATGGACCCGATACACTTGGGGGCTCACCTCAATGAAAAAGGCTAGATAGACAGGGGAAAATCAGGGAGAGAATATAATTGGCTGAAAAAATGCTTCCATTCACTAAAGTCTGGTTTCCTGGAAAAGAAGGAAGTTTAAAAAAAGCTGTCTATAAGACAACATTTATACCCCTACTGACCTACACCAGTGAGTCTTGAACTCTGATATCAAGACATAGGAACCAAATACAAACAATAGAGATGAGGATTCTCAGAAGGGTAGACAGGAAAACAAGAAGGGATACAGAAGTGTCAGAAATACAATAATTAGAAGTAATCTTGAAATTAAACTGGTCATACATAAAATTGAAGAGAATCAGCTGCAGTGGTTCAATCACGTTAAAAGAATACATGATGAACGAATTGCCATAACTATGTACGGAACGAGAGTTAAGGGAAAAAGTTCAAGAAGAAGGCCCAGAAACACTTGGGAAGGACCAGTCCGGGAGGCATTCAGTAGAAGAATGAACTGGTGCAGGCGCAACTAACTGGCACAGAATCGAGATACTCGGATCAGGCTCTACAAGTAGGAACCTCTCACACTGCTTCGTGGTAAGAAGAAGAAGAATTCCTTAAAATTATAGGAGCAAGATTAATTCAGACTCATTTATCAATCTTAAATAATTTAATGGAACTAATTGGCATATTATGTTTATTAAATGAGACACAAAATCATTTTACAAGCTTTCAGCCTGCTCACTGCAGCATAGTTTGGAAAAAACATCCAATGAAACTTATATAAATGTACACTTGTTTCCAAGGGACACACAATTCTGTTTCTGTCTGAAAATACAGGAATTTTGGCCCTTTTGCAATGGATGTCCCTCTAGTGGAAATTTGACTGTAGAGATATAATTGAAGATATATTTTTCATTTTTGTAAAAAAGTAAATAAAATTAAAAAATCCATACAGCAATGAAAAATGAGATAAATTAAGCAGACAGTTCAATAATAAAACATGCAGAAAATAAATAAAGTAAATAAAATGTAAAAAGAAACTCTTGGAAGAAAATTGTACAAAAAAGAATGTTTTGATAATGGACAATCAATTTGAAATTTTAAGCATGTTTCTAACTTTTCACTTTTTAGCTTTTATGAATCTGTTGCATCTTCATTTATTTATTCATTATTTAACTTTTTGTGTATTTATTTTCTTGATCTTCAGATTATGTCTTGGAACCGTTTCATTTTTTTTTTGCTTGTAGTATTTAATGATAAATAAATACAATATTAAGTTGTGAATATAAGTAATATGAAAACATATTTGCTGTTCAACTAACATTAGCATTGATAAATCTCATTCTCATTGACAAATCGAGATCCATGATACTGACACTAACAAAACAAACTTTAAAAATTCCTCTGGCGAAAACTATGATTTCAGACTACTAGCTTAAAGTTTGGATTTACTGCACCATAGTAGAGTTTCTTTTTGATCTATTTGTTTTTTTATAAAAAAATAATGTTCATGTAAAATTATGATATATAAAAAAAAATATATTTAAAGGGAAGTATGTAGTTACTGGAACAATATCCAGTATTTGTAATTTTTAAATTAAAATATTGTTTTCTCTCTTTTCAGATCAAACAAATGGCTATAGTATTACCACAATTGATCACTGAATCGTTTATAAGTAATTTGGAAAAAACGATTGCCCAAAAGAAACATCAAATAAAAGCTTTAAGTGATTTTCTTCTAGGAACAGACAACCAAGAAGTGACAACACCAGAAGAAGTAACAGATAAAGAGGAAACATCGGAGAATCATTCCTGTAGGCTGAATGTTGAAATAATATGGGTATTATTACTAGCAATGTTGTACATTAGAAATGGTATAATGTGATTATTAAGTAAAGCATTATACAGAGGAAATAAAACATGTAATAAGATTTTTCACTACTTGAAGTTTATAAAAATATGAAAGACTTACTATGATAATTAACATTAAAAATACAGCTAAAATTAATAATTATAAGAGCATATGAAGTTTTAATTATAAAATAAAAATAAAGTAAATAATTAAGTACTATTATATCAAGATATTAATAAGACCTGTGTTTAATTTATATAATATTTCTTAAATAAATTAATTTATAAATATACAAATGTATATAGATAACAAATAAAAAATATTGTGTTTAGAGTAAATATTTATTTATATCAACTAGTAAAGATCACATGGAATACAATATAGCCCTCCATCATTCTTTACAACTTTATTATATTTACAATTCCTTTTAGGATTTGTGTATTTTTCTTCATGGTTTTTATTGATTTCAATCAAGAAAGATGGCTTATAATAGCCATAGGATATTATACAACTCTGCTTCCTTAAGAGGATATAAACTACATCAGCAACCATGAGAGAAAGATTTTCAATTAGCCAGATGTTTAATAACATTTGCTATGTCTTCTGATAAGTTCTTGCTTTGAATAATCAGTATAAAAAGTTGGATATCAATTGTAGCCAAATAAGTTTCTTTAATCAGCAAAGTCAGTCAGTTGGCACTCCTCCAAAATTAATTTTATTAAAATTAATTAAATTAAATTTTAAAATTAAAATTAAAATTTACCACCAGTAAGGCTTATCTTCTTCCTTGAGATTATGATGGCTTACGGTAAGGCAGTAAATTTTCTCTATTGATGTTTCTTAACTTTTTCTAGAATTTGTTCATTATTTTAAAGAGGAGACAGTTATTTATTTTTTCAGGAATTAATCTTTATTTCATAATTATTTTATTTAAAAAATAACAACCAATCTGTTCCTATTAATTAATTTTCCAAATGTTTGTAACTATTTTATTTAAATTGTTTTCTTCCAACTTTAGGAGTCAGGTGACCCATCTTGCCCTCTGGAAATATCTTAGTTTAACAAGTGCTGTATAACTTCAAACATATTTCTGCGATTTTTAGAAACTTAGTTTTAGCAAGTTGTTTCCTTTTGTATATATTGTTCTCTATATTGAATTTTTAAATCTGATATCTTTATATCAAGTTGGTCACAACTCCTCTCTTGATTTTTATAAAATATTAAACCACATATTATGTAATAATGAGACAATAAAAATTTAAATCTCTAAATTTTCATTTCAGTAACTCAATTTAAAATGAGAATATTAGCTCCATCTAATAATTTAAATTATATAACAAGATATTATAAATTATACATAATTCAACATTATATCTCATTCTCTTGAAATTCTGATTAGCTAGAACAGAGGGCCTCCAAACTTTTTTACGCGTGGGCTACATTGAGATCTCCACCCAAGTTCCATGGGCCATGGCTTGGGATTAAAAAAATTGTTTTCTATAAATGAAACTTCAGATGCTAAATGAGTTTTTTAAGAGAAAAACAAACAAAAAAAACATGCAATAAATGTAGTAGTTGTAAGTAGTTTAATGCTATATAGGTATTTAGGGTACATATTTAATAGCGTCAAAACCCCCCTTCTTATCTAATCTCATTTCACATAACCTCCCTTATCTCATCTAACCTAAGTTATTCTCTTGTTTCTTTTATTTTTTTTGTTTCTTGTGAGCTAGTGTTATTTAATTATGGATGTTGTCACATTGTGGAAATTGCCCTCTTCAGAAGAAGAGGCTATCAAATATTTTAAAGACACCGGGATATTTGCAAAGGTCAAATAATACGTGGTTAGAGGGGTCGAGGATTTCTTTTTTAACGGCTTTAAAATTCATTAATGGTTGGTCCCATAATTTAATAACAATACAGTGGGGGAAAGAGCAGCTCAAACTATCCAACTCAACTATCTATAATCTATAATGCAACTATCGTTTTTTATTATTTTATCTATTTTTATTATTTCATTTATTTTGATATATACATTGCAATGTTTTCGTAATGTTTTTTAATTATATATTTACAATGTTTTGGTCTATTTTAATATACATGTTGTAAAATAAAAGTATTTTTTTATTATTACATTTGTTTTTGTTTTTGTTCACAATTTCAATAATATTAATACAACACAATAAATATGAATACGAAGATATAATAATATGAATATAATACAATAAATATCAATACGAAAAGCTTATCAGTGTTAAGGTTATAAACATTGGCAGATAGCAGTTGGACGCTACCCTCTATTAAATAAGTACTGTATTTAGTTTACTTTTCTGAAATACAATTAATTAAAGAACTGAATGGTGCGATTGATGGTTGAAATAAGTCTAGTTTCATATAAAAACTGTCTGATTGTAACGCCTAATAAAGCTATGAAAACTTATACATTTTTGATAATTGTAATGGCCAAGTCTATTTTTTATGATTAACTGATTCAAATAAAACTTCAGGATTAAAGTAATAAATAAACAACAGGATGTTAAAAGCATAAAAGTTTATTATTTAATTGAATATTCAATGATGTTCAAACAATAAATGATTTTTAATGATGAACGACTGTAGCCATCAGCTAAGATAAAATAGGATCACAACATTAATTATTAGAAAACATTCTCAGTAGAGGACAATCCTATTTCTAAGATTTTGTACTATTTAACATTATATTAAAATAACATAACAGATCAATTTTTTGCTTAACAAAAAAATGTTAAAAACAAATTTGTGACTATTAACAAAAAAAAAAAAAATTAACAATTATTAATTATTTAACCAGCATTAAATTACTTCAGCTTAAAACTATACTATTTATAAATAACTACCAACAACACATGTCTTTCTTTAAGATTGTGCAAAAACATAATTGATTAATCATCTCTAAAATTGTAAATACATTACCAAATATACTAAGTTATCCTACTTAGAAAGGGGTCTATATCATCTCATGGAGCCTTAAAATAATTATTTCTACATGTTAATTTTTAATTCTCATTGCGAGAAAAAAAATCTTGCAAATAGAAAGATTACATTAATTTTTTACTTTGTGCAAGGAAGATGCCAAAAGAATGACCATAATTTTATTAATTTTAATTCAGATATTAATTCAAGATAAATAAATAAATATATTACAATTAAGACAATGGTTAACATCAGGAGGTTTTTCATCATTCAAATAACAATTATTTGTTGAAAAATGTTTTGATCATATCACAATTATGTGAATTATTTCAAAAGACCAGAAAGTATGGTTTTGTGACAGTACCTCCTGATGAGCTAATTTAAGTGTCTGTACCCCTGAAGCATTAAGAAAAAGAAACAACACATTTGAGCAATGATTGGCTGAAGAAGGTTGTAAATATTTACTGATATAATCTTAGTTGATCTGATTTACTTATAAAATAAAATAAATGAAATATTGGCATGTCTGCAATTTTGGCTAAAGATCAGGGGCAATAGACAATGGTTAACATTGTTAAAAACCTAAAAGGTGAACAAGAATCTAGATAGTACTGAATAAGAATTGAGAAGAATCGACAACACTTGAGAACCGTCTCAGCCAAGTCCATGAATGGTTAAAAAAAGGTTCAATAGACTTATAAAGTTAGTAGTGATGAATTCTAATTAAGTGGTTTCTTTATGGACAGTTATCAGTATTTTCTCAGGATAATGTTAGGCAATTTGTAAATAACATTAAATTTGTCAATAAGTCTCTTTGGATTAAATAACAAATAAAAATTATTATGGCATTGAAGATAATCAATATGATCAGAATATATATATTTTATTTATCTTCTTTTAAATAAAAATTGTGCTTAGGCGATATGGTCAGTATTCTTTCTCACGTTAGATTAGTCACCACATTTGACTTCATTGGTTATTTATGTTTTTTTATAATAAAGAAAGTTAAATAAAGATTAAAATAATTTAAACTTTTCTATGACCATTGGCTCAAAACTTATTTAAATTATAGCACTAAAAATAATAAATAAATAAATAAATATATATATATATATATATATATATATATATAAAATTAACCAGATTAAGAATTTAAATGATTTTCTACGTTTATTAGAGAAGATTTTAACTTATTGAGCATTATAATTCTTTCAATTTAACAATCCTAATTACTTACTTATTTATAATACAAGACATACCTTAATATTGATTCTGCTCATTTTTGAAATAAAAAAAAAAAATTAATAATTTTGAAGTATTGAAAACTGCATATTATTTTATTCAACTTTTTTGATTATTTTGGATTGAACAATTATATGTTGTTCGCCATTATTTCCATTAATATTAATAACATCCACGATAACTTTCTAGACCAATATTTCTAAATAATCATTATTTTCTAGATAAGGAATCAATTAAAATTTAATAATTTTAATTTAGTTATAATAAGGTAAAATAAACAATTTTTATTATCCTCTATACATTAAAATAATATTATGCTATGATTGTGCCTTTGGGGTGTATTTACATAACAATAAGACTAAAAAATAACAAAATCAAACACAACAATCAATATATGTAAATAGGGAACAATAAAGGTTTCTTTGGAATTAATAATATTTTTACATCATTATAAATATGACTTACAATTTAAAAATATTGACATAAATTAGAATCAATGTAATGCTGTATACAATTGATTTATTTAAAAATAGCAATTATGATAAGGTTTATTAATCACAGATTAAATTGATGACTATCATTCCTAATTTATAATTTTGCATGAGCCAGCATGCGCAATCAGTGCATAAGTGCAATTTAAATAATTAAATCTAATTTAAATATTTTTAATTTATAATTTAATTATATAATTAAATAAAATTATGTAGGCAGCTACATAGTTTTGATTGAGTGAATAAGATCAATTTCATGGAGTTTGATGCATAATGCAACTAAACTGATAATAAATAGTATTTATTAAGTTATGACTATGCATACTAGATAATTTACCTAACATCAGAGCCTACTAGGAACGAAAAACCGTATTTACTTGTTGGGTACACCTGATAAATGTAGCACGTTTTGAAAGTTCTTTTAATTTTCCTGCACCTGTATAAGTACATGCACTCCTCAACCCACCAAGAATATCTAACACAGTACCCTCCACGTCACCACGGTATTCAACTTCAACTGTTTTGCCTTCAGCACATCTGAAAAAAAAAAATTGAAATAATACCAATAAATCTCTCTTTAATCTGAAATGTTGGAAATCATCTCAGTTCAAAATAAGCAAAACATTTTGATTAGGTGCCTTCAGTAAGAACGAACTACAAGATAACATGATGATTCATTTTTACCTGTTTTTTTTCTTTAAATATAATAGGGTGTAAAAAAAAAAAAAAAAATGACTGTTTTCTCAAATTCAAGATTTCAAAGTACTATAAATATTTTGATCCTATTTAATACTTACCAATACTTAATAATCTCATTAGAGCATTCTCTAAGCTTGTTTAATCCCATCCGATTTCTTCAAAAAAGCCTCTGTTTAGTTATTTGTTTCAAAGAAGAAACAGAATAGTATACTACGAAATTCTCGTAATTTTAAGGCATTACTGGAAAAAAAATTCACAACCGCTGAACCAACTGGTGAAATTATTAAATATGAAGAGGAAGGTGTCCTTGATCATCACACTGCGGGGCATTGGTTTGAAAAATTTAGCAGTTGGAAAGGAAGAAGGGCTCTGGGTGACCATTAATGGATATTGATGAGGTTCTGCAGGAAGCAGTTGAGTCAAATACGTCCACAAGTACTTCACGAACTTTCTAGAGAGTGTGGTGTGTCAAAAGATACTGTTAGTCGCCATCTACTCTCCATAGGAAGGTGAAAAAGAGCAGTAGACTGGTTCCTCACAAACTTACTCCTCAGCAATCAGCTAAGAGATTAGAAATTTGTGAAAATTTATTGAAAAACCCTTCTGATATGAGATTTTATTGGAAGATTATAACCTGTGATAAAAAGTGGATTTACTGGCGAAATCTGAATACCTGTGAACAATGGCTAGATTACAGTCAAACTGCTTTTCCGGTTGCTACGAGGGGACAATCTGAAAAAAAAAAAATCCTTGCTTTCTGTTTTTCTTAATTTTGAGTGTTATTCATCACGAATTTGTTACTCATAGATGCTCTATGAATAATGAACTCAACTGCGAACAACCGGAAAGAATGTACGCAAAGTTGTCAGAACGTTATTCTGCTTTGATCAACCGAAAAGGAATTTTATTCCAACAAGACAAGATAATGCTCGTCCTCACACTTCCTGTTGAACCAAAGAAAAGTTTAAAGAACTTCATGGGTTCGAACTTCTACCTCATCCACCATACAGTCCAGACTTCGCACCATCTGGATTACTACTTATTTAGAACCATGGTCCAATTTCTTCAAGGGGAAACATTTGATAATTTTGCAGAAGTTGAAATTGCGGTCCAAGAGTTCCTTGATAACCATTCCAAAGAATAGTATGTAGCATGGGATCGAGCAATTGGCTAGCAGATGGCTAATGGCGGTAGATAACAATGTACTATACTTTAAGTATTAATTGTATTTTATATTAAAGAAATAATAATACAAATATTTGGTTGAAAAACACTCTTTTTTTTTTTTTTTTTACACACTTATATTTGCTATTTGACAAACTTTAATTCAATTTTTGAAATATTCATTAATATTCAATAAGTATTATTCGAAAGTTATTGGTAACAATTCTTAACTTTTTTTCAGACTTACCTTAGTAATATAAGAAAAAAGTTTTGAAAATTATTTATAACTAAATATCCAACACTAAAGAAAAACATGTTTCATTATAACCTCTAAAATAAATAAATTCATATGCATTGGTATTGATTATAACAGTAATATTCAATATAACATTAAGGATCAGTTGAAAAATTTATTATAAATAGATCTTATTGAATATTGTAATGCACATTGTCAAGTTAAAAATGTAAACGCTATTGTACTTTAGTCTGTGAGAAAGAGCCTTGGGCCCTAAGACAATAACGAATCAATCAATTTAAATACTAATTGCAAGCAGCTTGGAACAAAAAGTAATTTAATTATTATTCTATAATAAATTGTACTTTAATTAGCTACAAAGTATTCAAATATAAAGTACTACTTCAAAATACAATAGGATATAACATAAAAGAATCTGTTGATTTAATAATTTATTTTATGTAGTTAAAATACATTCCTTTTATTTTAGAATGTAAATACAAATAATTTGTTTTCTTTATTTAAAAAAGAAAACATGGCTACAAATAATGTATTTCATATTTTACTTCTTAAAAAATGTATTTTATTTTGTATTTAAAAATATTTTATTCAAAATATTGTCCACGTTTGATAACAAGTATGAATGGAACAATATTGCAAATAGATTAAAAGTTTTTCTGTACTTCAATCTGGAACTATAATATAGTAAAAGCTGTTTTATTAAAATAAGCCATTAAACAACTTAACAAATACAATAGAAAAATGGTCATTAAGTTTGATCTGAAGATTTTATAATTTTAAAAATGGCAGCCAAGAAAAAAAGAACAGTTAATAAAGGATAATAACCTGTATTGTGCAACTTCTCCTTGATGTTTAAGCATAGCGGTATCAGAAGACATTCCGTAGAAAAGTTTGACTGTCCTACCATCAGGCTTATGCCTTATTTCACCACCGGATTGGTCATGTCCAGCAAGCATACCTGAAAAATATATATAACAATAACAATATATTTATATAAATGATAAAACCCGATTATTTTCAATAGATATTTGATTCAAATTGTCATAAATAATAAACAAATTTAAAAGTTTAGTTAATAAATTCTTGATTTGTTTAGGAAGTTTCTTGGGCAGAACAGAAATAATTAATCTTTGATCTAAATTGAATTCATGAGATGATGAATACTTGCCCAAAAAATATTCACACTTAAAAAAGTTCTAAAGATACTGTTCATACAATCCAAGGGAGTGATTTGGCCAGGATCATGTTCAACAGCCACGTCTTTTCCCCAATTAAGGGTATGTCCCATAGAATTTCCTAATCCCAGAATCAATATACGGTTAATATTATAATAGAATAAAAAATAAATTTTAATCCTTAATTCTCAAAGAGGTGCTGTTTAATTTGAGGATTACCTAATGCCTTCTTGACAACTCAACACTTAGAGCTAAGAAGAGTACATCTCATAACCATATGATGGACAAAATAAATACATCATTCATGAATTATTCAGTGGAATGAATAAAAAAAGTCTTAGTTTTGGTTAAGTAAAGATAGATTTTTTATATTCAATATTTGCCAAGTTATACACACCTCCTAACATCACAAAATCTGCACCGGCTCCAAAAGCTTTTGCTACATCACCTGGGGATGTACAACCTCCATCCTGAAAATAATTTTTTTTTTCATTTCTATCAATAAAATGTGACAAAACCGAAGCCAATATAAACTTGACAATACTAATGGCCACGTTTATATAATATATAAGTTATATAAATAACCTAATAACTAAATATTTAAATGCACACACCAATAACAAGAGCTAACAATTTATATACTGCAAAATACCTTTGATATTTCTCATCATTAATCATGTTAACGATGTAATTATTATTACTTTGTAAGAGTAATAATAAAAGTAGTTATCACTATTCCCAATTTTACCACTTAATTTGTATTCATAAATTTATAGACCACATTAGAATTTAACATACAAACCAGGAAGAAAGCAATAAATCAAATTAATCCATCTGAATTATAAATAATTTGTAATAAGCACTTTGTTTTCCCCATTTATTGTTAATTTTAGTAATAAGAAATGATTGTAATTTTATGTAAAAATATGACAAATATTTTTTTAATACATACAAAAATAGATATAGTAAAAAAAACTTACAAAATATGTCATTTGTTGGTCTGTTTATTGCTAAATAATTATTCAATATTTTGCAGTCAAAAATTGATTGTTACTTACTGTAAATTACAGTTTTATGAAATAACAAAAAATCATGCAGTAAAATTATCAGTCATTTTGGGCATTGTATTGTATAGTTTTTAATTTAAAAAATCTGGTGCGGGCATCACACAACTTTCACTTACCGCTCAACTTTGAATAGAAATTATTTTCTGGCCATGTTGGGCTATTATAAAATTTTTGAATTGCATTTTTAAGTGATCTAAAGTAATTATTTAAAGCAGTGCTGCCCTACTATATAGGGTTGCTCGATTGTAAATACTTTTTTCAAACTTAAAAATATTTTAGAAGTTTATATTTAGTTAGTAAATTTCATTTAATTTCTTTGAAAACATGTGATTCATGTTAAATATTATTAGTTTTCAAAACACAGACCATTTTTCGGGACTTGATTATTTGGACTCAGGATACTCCAAAACATTTATTTCCGTTGAAAACGCAGATTAAAAAATATTCACGGTCCCAATACTTACCCTTACTATATATTACATATATATGTAAGTGAAAGTAAAAAAAAAAAAGGAATAAATGAAAATTGGTATAAAGTAGTCAATTTTAAGAGTATGAATATTTTTAATACATAGATATAATCATTAAAAATCTTTACATACTTACAGAAATGATGTGTGCTGACAAACCATGAGCTGAATCAGCACATTCTAATACGGCAGAGAGTTGAGGATATCCAACACCTGTTTTGATACGTGTAGTACATACAGATCCTGGTCCTATACCAACTTTGATAATATCTGCTCCAGACAAAACCAGTTCTTCAACCATCTCACCAGTCACCACATTACCTGCCTTCAAATTAAATTTTTTTAGGCGTGAATAAGCATAAACATACATTCAATAATATAAGATTCCTGATTACGACAAAGAGGGAAGGCCATTGTTCAATTTTTGTCATTTATATTGTGGAATATAATGGTTCAATGTGAAACAAAAATTATATCTTACATTTCTGAACAATGGGAATTATATGCATTTATTCCAATTATATATTAAAAATGATCTTAAAGAATATTTTAAGAAAAATGATTATATTTTCTAATCCTGAAACATTATAATTACTTTCATTTAAAATTAAATATCTGAAAAGAATTTACAAAGGAAAAAGTAAAAAAAACTTTTTTATTAGTGTTTTTTTCATGATTTAAAAATGGTAGCGAAAAACATACTCGATTTAAGATACTGTACAAAATTAATATATTCATTATTAATTACAATATTTTGAATAAAGATAAATTTGTTTAAAATATAAATTCAATTTTGATTGCAGCAATATCTCAATTTAAAAAACATTATTAAATTACTGTCATTGAAATCACGAATTATCCTAAATAGTCCAAAACAGTGCAGGGTGCATTTATTTGAGGGTAGAAACATAAAAATTATGTTCCTTTAGTTATTTATTTTTTAGGAAGAAATAGAAGTCTTGCTTAACAATTGACAAACATTTAGATAGGTTGGTTTAAATTTATTTATAAAAAGAAACTGCATAATACACAAAGAGGCAGAAAGGAATGGAATATGGCAATTACGAAGAGTAAGTAATCATAAGTATATTTTTGTTTCTAATAGTTTTAAATGACTAAAGAAAGTATTTATTCTTTTTTTTAAATTAATATTTTTTTCATTAGAAAACTTTTTTTCTATAGAATAATTATGTTAACATCCCCATCTAGAAATTCACAAATAGATGAGCGACCCTTCTGTCTCACACCATAACTCCTGGGCCTTCAGATTGGGAGTAGGGCATAGTGCCAATAACTTTATCCCCAAAAAACTATCTTATTCCGAAACCAAAATGGGCAGAGATATAGAAGGCTTGCTAAGGAGGCAAAAGATCTACAAGTAATGCTAACAGAAAACAAAATTATATCAAAAGGAGAAAAATATTTGAGATTTAATTTTTTTTTCTACAGTTAAGGTTTTTTATTCAAAATTATTACCAAGACATGAAAAATAAATTGCATATTTGAACTATTACATAGTATATTTTAACTCACATTGATAAATATACTATGTTTTTTAAATGGATATTTGACAATTTTCATTGAATGTTTTAAAAAAATTTAAACACACCAAAGATGACCATTTTTACCATTCTAATCAATAAAAGCCGACATTTTTTTTCATTCATCTTAATAAAATCCTACTGTCGACTATTAATAAATCATAATAACTCTTCCAACAATTAATTTTTTTTTTTGTAATAAATCATTATATTATATCATATCTTACATGTCATTGGATTATAAGCAAATTTTGAAAAGAAATGAATAAATTTATATAAAATATATTTTAAACTAAATAACTCACAATAATAATGTGATTAGGATAAGCTTCTCTAACACGTCGAACATGTTCCACAAATTGTTGTGAATATCCATTTGCAACATCTAAACAAATGAATCGGATAGCAGGTAAAATATCAAGAATTTGTTTGAGTCTGTTAAGATCATTATCAGAAAGACCACAACTTGCTGCAACATGACCCAAAACTTCAGGGTTAGCTTCACCAAATGCTTGCCATTCCTCAGGCTGGTAGTATTTATGAACAGCTGTCATCATTCCATGCTAAAAAAAAAGCGTAATCATAATAAAACTTTCTATCGGAAGTTAGAAGTAGCAATGATATAACATAATTTAATATTACAGTAACAGAAACTATCAATTTGGCAGATTACAAATTCTGAATCCTAAATTCAATTTAAAAATATATAATTTTGTTTAAAGATCCAACTTTGGTTTATTATTTCCAATAAACTAAAGTTGTTTTATGTTCCAAGTTATGTAAAATCAAAAATCATATTTAAAAAATTAGCCATTCTACAGCAATTTATTTCAAAATGGAGGGAGATTAGAGATTTCTAACATTCATACCATAGATAGGGAACCTTTTTATTATTAGAGGCCGCGTTAGACAGCGTTAATGAAGGCAGCAATAATTCTTAATATTTTACTGTTGCTAATTATATTTATCACTAAATACACACACCCACATACAGACATTTAACTTAATTCAATTAATTTCCAAATTGCCATTACTTAAATAATTAAAAATTAATTAATTCTAACACTAGATTCATAAATATTGTGCAAAAACGTTTGAAGGGCACAACTACATCACAGAGGCCACATATTCTCTGAGGCTGCGGTTCCCCACGTATGGTCTATGAATGAATGAGAAATGCTTTATTCGTTTGCAGGAAATTTTATATGTTTTACAAGTACAATACAAATAAAGACTTTATAATAATTACATATACATGAATAACTGATAAATACTAAAACAACAAATACAAATATAAAATAATAAATATTTTGAATAATTTATATCAAAGAAATAATAATAAAGGAAAATAAGGGATATCATAAACAATAACATGAATAAAATTGACCACAAATAAATTAGACCGATCATTGTCTATCCTTGATATAGCAAATTAAAAGGGTGGATCCATTTTAATGTCGGATGTCGAGCAAAACTGACAATTTTATGACATTCGTTCACAAAGGGGGCATTTAGAAGAGAAATTAAGATATCATTTCTAACCAGGCCAGTTCCAAGAAATTCGATACAAATTTGACTAAGCATTGAACATTTAGCCAAAATATGAAACAGGTCTTCCTTTACTGGTAGGTTACAGATTGGATATCCCTATATTCCCTGTTAAGCCATGGGATGTAATTCAAATAAAGGAGTTCACACGTAAGCTTAAACAACTAACTTAACTCACGCCCAGTGAAATCCATACAGCATCATCGACAAATTTCTAAATTTTAAGATCATGACTCAATTCCCTATACAATTGAAATCGATCAGAATTCAATTCCTTTAATTTAAACTGCTCCCAATGTTGCTGAGTCAATGCAAACTGTATTGTTGTCAACTGGTCTTTCCATAATGAAAAGGATTCTAAAGACCTGTCGAACCTGCAGGAGTATCTTTTCAAATTGCACCAATTTTTAAACCAAAAGGAATTATGTTTAATCACTTCAATGGCAATGACTCTGCAGAGACGAATTTCAGGCAGGCACAGTAACTAAGACAATACCTAAATGCAACTGCAAAGAGAATCCTTCAAGTGGATTCGTGGCTGTTCCTAAATAAATCATATCATTTGGTGTCGTTGGAGGCAATGAAAACAACTTCTTAATGAAAAATCTCTGAAACTTTTCCAGTATGTCATATCCCTGAAAACTACAGACTCGAACCGCATAGCATACTAAGGAGCGCAATATTGCTTCAAATATTTGTTTTTTGGCAGATAGTAGGATCAGATCTTGAGCAATGAAACTTGACCAATTCCTATTGAGGCCCATTTTAGCAGCCTATATATGAACTTTCAAATGGTAAGTAAATGAAAGACTGGAGCTTAGCGTGACACCCAAATATTTAGGAATTATGATATCAAAGCCTTTCGAAAAAAAAAAAATTTTCTTACCACTACTAGTAAGAACAGCATTATTATTATTATTATTAAATATCATTATACACGAAAATTTCCAAATGCATTTTTTAAAGAATCTAAATGTTTCAGTCTCCTCAGTCCAAAAAAAAAAATTTATGGCCATTGGTCTGTTTGTGGGTTTCTGCGTCATAAATAGGACCTCTAGGTAGACTAATGATGCTACTTTATAACATTCTAATTTATTTTTTTCACTTCATATGGCCTCCAATCCCTGTTTATTTGATAGAACTCCTCAAGTGTAATAATAAAAAAATATGTTTTTCTATTGACGATAGACGAAAAACAGCTTAAATGATTTTGATGAAACTTCTCCATTCTCCTTCTAAAACCCATTAGATTTTCACATATAGAATATTCCTAAGAAAATGCAGGAAAAATGAGTAAGAAAACAAAATTTTATAAGCACATAACTCAAACTATATATATTTTTTGGCAGAAAAAAAAAAGACAGAAATTAGACCAGTATTAGCAAAGATACAGCATATTAAACTTTGAATGTATGATTTTTAAAGTATTCTTCACATCTCCACATAGAAACCTATTGAAAATGAATCAATTTCTTCAAAATGATGCCTCAAAAACATTGTTGAGAATTAATATATATATACATATAAAGATATTTTAATTTTTATGTGATTAGGAATCCATGGTAACCATGCTCCAAACAACCATCAAGATACATCATCTAAAATAAGGTTGGGTCCATATGTTATCTAAAAACCAGTACATATGAATCCTTTAAAACTTAAGGCCCAGTTTAGTTCTCTAGAACTAATATATTATAATAACAACTATACCTGTATTGAAGTACAATTCATACCATAACTTTATAATTTATTATAACCTTTTAGAGTGCATGCTCCAAACAATCATCTTTTGTAATTGAAAGAGTGTAAAATGAATCAAAATTAATACAAAAATCATGTTGATCTATTTGACAAGGTAGCTGCCTCGAAGTTATTCAGAGATAAGACTTTTTGAGCAGAGCTCGTGGGCAGTGGGCTCAGTCAACAACTTTCTCCCTTAAGTTCTTTTTTATTTCCAAATCATAGCAATCAAATATTTGTGAAATAAACTAATTTACTTTAAACGATTCCTGACTAACAGTTCATGGTACATAGTAAATCATCATGTGCACAGATAATTAAAAATGTGGCTATTTTACAATTACAATTCATAGTTGAACTTTTCAAATAAAAATAATCGTTTGATAATAACCCATGTTATAACCGTGATTTAATTATAAAAACAAAACAAATAAATGCAATTTTTAAAATCAATTAATGGGAAAATTATGTTGAATGAACCGATTTCTACTATCTGAAGCAATAATATTATTGAGATAAGCATGTGATAATCTGTATTATCAAGGTTCTGTGTTATCCATCCTTGATGGATATTCAAAGAGAAGATAAAATTGAGATAAAACTGTCTGGTGTATATTTTTTCCTCATCATAACATCAAAGCATGATATAATTATAATCAATCTTCAATAATTTTTTTTTATTATGTTTGGTTCATGTTAAAAGTTGAATATTGATTTAATAAACAAAAAACAGTTGTCAACACATAGATCCTTTTTCTGTAATTTTCTTTTTTAAAAATTAATTTAAGAAACAAAATAGATAAACATGGATTAGTTTAATAACTTACATTGCATAAGTGAGGCAATGACTAGTTTAGAACCTCGACTTCTACAACCTATGAAGGGTCTTGGGTTAAGTACTTTATAAGGAAGTACTGTTCCGTCGTCAATGGTTGAGAAAGGTGTGCGACCGATAAAACACTCAACCACCAGGATTTTTCTCTGCATTAATTAGTAAAGATTTTACTTCAATCCAACTTTAAAGAAGTTGGATCCTCTTGGACAATCTCCCAACTCGAGGATCGATCAACAAGATGTGTATTAAATGGAAAACATACATTTACACTGCTGTCAAATTCTCTTTAAATTCATTAAGAACTTGCATTAACAAAATAATAGTATAAATAAACAAACAATACATGGTCATACATAGATATAACATAGTTTAGTTTTATCTTAATTACCATGTAATTTAAGTTTGGGTTAGTGAAATAATTTACAATTAATTAATAGTTCAGGTTCAATAATACTGCGCAAAAGGTAATTAAGGATTTAATCATAGAAATATTTATTTCAATTTTATAATTCTCAAAAACAGAGGTAACTTTGTCATACAAAGTTAGGTTTTTATTTTGAGAAAGCTTTGAGAGTAATTTAAAATAATAATAATAATAAAAAAAAAGGAATTAGAATAAATAACAGGTCCTTCCTCTACTAATTGAGTGCTAAAAATGTAATTTCACTAGATACAATAAAGCTGCCTTGACATAGATAATTGACAGCCAAACTGGTCAATGTTACTGTCTGTTCCACAAATAATTTTGTTTTGTTAGTCATCTTGGATCAGCACAGACAATAAATAAATAAACATTTTTTTAGATGAAGTTTACTAATAATCATGATATATAAAACAAAATTATTTGCATAACAGGAATGTCAAATTTTTTAAATAAAAAATAAATTTATAGTAAAAAAATAAAACATATTGAAAAAAATAACTGAATGAATGCAATATAGTTTTTTTCAATAGATATTCTATTACCAAAATTTTTCTAAGACTTTAAATTACTTGAAACCAGTGAATTTGGCAATTTAACTGCTATTTTGAACATTTTTTAAAAACTGAATATAATATGAATTATAAATGTTGCAATAATTGAATACTGCAATAAAAATAACAGAATTCATACAAACATATTTGTTCACAGCAGGAGAAAATTCAACAATTGTATATATTTAAAAAAAATTGAAATTTTAGATATTTGTATTTAATACACACTTTTGGTGATTACTTACACTGGTGATATTAATACACCATTTATTTGGTTAAAAATAGTTAATTTTCTTTAAATTATGATGATCATAGCAAATGGGACTGCACTGTGGATAAATGCTTCAAATGATAATTTGGTTTAATTAAGATTGGCAAAATGCCAAAAAATATATTTAAATTTAGGCAACTACAGTCTTACCTTGGATAATGATTTAGCCATTTCAAATGTTCCAACAGTATCCATATTTGAAGCGATTAAAGGGACACCCTTATAAGTTTGCTTAGAATTTCTAAATGTAATTTCTCTGAACAGATCTACCTGTAATAAAATTCACTTTCATAAGACTTTCAATACAGATTTTACATAGAAGTTAAACACGAATTACTTACATCAGCTCTGCTTTTTAATGTGCTTCTTTTAGGACGAAGAAGTACATCTTTAAAGTCCAATTTGATTTCATTTACAATGTTCGGCATCTTTCAAGAGAACTGTCAAATAGGTGGTGGCGGAAGGTACGGACAGGTAACAGTCAAGTTACCTCCTGTAATCAGTAAAATAGTTTTTTTTTTTTTTTTATAAAAATCGTTTGATTCTAGTTATATCGCTAATTGATTTTAGGTTGAAATAAAATTCCTATATTTACTTAAATTTAAAAACTTGAGACATACATTATAAAATTAAAAAGTTATTCCATAAATTATGAAAATAAATGTCACTTCTGAACAAATATATATAGAGTGGACCTACCTACCAGCAAGTATCTCCTTGTTAGACTATTGGGAATTATTACACAAATCATAAAACTAAACGACAGCTAAGGAGGGGAGTTGTCCTTGTCAATCTCCTCCCACAACCACAAACTGTAAATCTAAATAAATTTCACATACCTCGAATTTGTTTCAATTAGATAATTTTTAATGTTCCAAATAAACAGTCGAAATCTACTGTTTTATTAATTGTCTTTCTTTAATATAATGGATTCCTAAGTTGAAATTATTAGTTATTTTTATATCCTGTTGGTATTTTAATATATAATTATTTTACAATGGCAGCACACCTGTTCCTGTAATTCTCGTTGTTTTTATTTTGAATTTGGCTGCACTGCTAGTGTCAGTTGCTGATATGGCCTATCTCTTCAAAGTTTGAACTTCATGTTAGGGTTTAATTCCTAGACAAAACAAAGTTTTTGAACTGTTCCAATCACGATTTATGAATGGTAGTTAACTAAAAGAATCATGTCAAAACCCACCAGTACAGAAATTTCGGTATCTATGGATGATGATACGACTCCTCCTGATTGGGACCCAACTTCTGTTTCAACATCAAATACGAATACTACTCAGGTTCCTGTGACTACTAATGTTGCACCTCAACAAGTACATAATTATTCATCCCCTGATCCTGCAAGATCTTTTCAATGTGTTTCTAGGGTTAAAAGGTACACAGTTATTAACATAGAAATAAATCATTTCATCTGGTTTCTATTCCTTTGTAATCTTTGTTACATTTCTAGGGATATGCTTGCAATTTACAATGACCCACCCCCTGGGATATTTGTAATACAGGATGAACAAGATTTGACTTTGATACATGCATTGATCACGGGTTCCTTTGAAACTCCCTATGAAGGTGGATATTTTTACTTTATTGTAAGATGTCCTCCAGATTACCCTATTAAACCCCCTAAAGTAAAATTCATGACAACTGGAGGAGGAACTGTGCGGTTTAATCCTAACCTTTACAAGTGTGGAAAGGTTTGCATCAGCATACTGGGGTAAGTTACACTTTCAAATACAGTTGTCAAGCTTATTGAATGTATATACATTCACACTGTATGTTTATTGAAATAATTAGATTTCTTAGTTCCATTAATTTTGTTAATGTCATGCTACCTCTGTTCGCATGTATATATTGAACTTTACTAACTCCCATCTTTTGTGACAAAGCAAATACACTATTAATTGAGTATAGCTGAATTAAGCTTTCACTGGCTTATGCATTGCAGAAGTATTATATACTTAGTATCAAGAAACAAAAAGTAAATTAAACTAATAATGAACTGTGTTCAAATGCATTTTGATTGTTGATTTGTAATGTTAGGTGGTACACATATAAATTATGTTAATAGCTCATTTTAACTCATTGGATTAGGGTAGTAATTTAATCTCATTTTAATTTAGGATGATAAAAGGGAATTTGATTCGGAAGTGGTGGCTGGAATGCCTCAAACCAATTAAACTATTATGTGATCATAGATTAGTGAATTTTATTTAACTGGTTGTTCGTAAAATCATAATTTTTCTTGTCATGTTTTGAAGGTAAATTGAATGTCCTCATTTTAGGAAAATTTCAGATAAACATGTAATTATTGAAGTTTTTAAATCAAAATAAACCAAGGAGGAAAAGCTTTTGTAAAACCTGGAGTCTAAAATATTTCCATATTATATCCATGTTACTTTTCCTTAGTCCTCCTGGGCATATTTCATGAGCGTCCCAGGCCTAAGGTACTACTATTGTTCAAATGTCACTCCACTTCCTTGGGCAGCACATTATTTCATGATCACACCATATACCGAACTGACCGAACCCTCTGGCAAGGCCGTGACTTCAACTTATGAGGACTCGGGAATTTGTATGTCTCTTTTGAGTGAGTGTAAGTCAAAAACAGTGATCTAATTAAAGCCCCTATATTAACTGAAAAGAGATGTGTATATTCGGAGCTGGTTTTGTAATGTTACTCCAAGATGAAAACTGGTTTCAGGATCACTACTAGCCCCCTGGCATGGGTTCCCGAGAAATGTACTCAGTACTATTTTACAAGTGTTTTTTTATTTTGATGGGCTAAGATCTCATGGTCACACTATAAATAGAATTCTGAGAACGAGTATTGATACAGTCACTTATAACCTTCCTTTATCTAGATCACAATTTACGATCGTAAAGTCTTAACCAGTCCCCAATTATAATTGGGGCCTTAATTAACTTTAATCACATTGCTGCTTTCAACTTTCATTCACTCCAAAGGGACAGAGAAACTTCCAACGTGCACTTTTCAGTTGAGTTCAGTGTCTTACCAGAACCATCTGGCTCTGATATCAACTGAAAATCACCCGTCGGGAGTTTCTTTGGGAGATATCCTTATTTAGGATAATAAATCTTTCAGACATCATAGTTCATGTTTGATTATTTTATCTCTTGACTGATACCTATATTTTCTACATTGTTAGTAACATAAAATGTCTGTGAAATTATTTAAATAACTAAAATTGATTTAAGAGTTGAAATTTGAACAAATATTTTAATAAGTTACATTCGTTTTATCTGAATCTTAAGAAAGAATATTTACATTTATTTATAAGGAAAAATTATAAGTCAAATAAAATCATCATGAGCCCCATCAGACTTTCAATTTCTATGACATTATTGTCTTTGTAATTTAGAGAATTTTGATTCATCAGTTGTTTCTCATTTCTGTTAGTTTGTTTATTTGTTTAGGCTTTAAGGCGTAAAAGGGTCATCAACGCATGACACTTCTGTTAGTTTTTAGATGGTTAATGCTAACTACTGTTTGTGTAATCATCTAATTTTCATATAAAAGGTGTCATAAATATTTAACACCAGGATTTTTGTCTAGTGCATTTAATTGCAATGTAGAAAGTTAGTTTTTATAATATTTTTGACTGAGTTTGTAGAAATCATATAAATTAGATCTTCATCTCTTAAACATACTTCTTCAGGAACAGCAATCATCGTTTTATTTCTTCTAGCTGAAAATATATCTGGAATACTGATTAAAAAAAAAAAAGACAGAAAAAAATAATATAATGAATTGAACTTTAGATGTTTGCAATAAATTATGTTTTAAGTATTTATTTATTTTTTATAAATTTTTACAAGTACATTATTAATTTTACTTTATTTTTTCAGAACTTGGTCAGGTCCTGCATGGAGTCCAGCTCTTACAATATCTTCGGTTCTCATATCAATTCAGAGTCTTTTAACTGAGAAACCATATCATAATGAACCTGGATTTGAAAGGGTGAATATTTTCATAAAAATATATAAATTGCCTTTAGTATACGTTTATTAGTTTATTGTTTAATGTAACATTCTGAAGACAGTGTGATGTCCACCTTCATGACTATCATTTTTAAATATCTTAAGTTCAGTGAATATTAACATTTACTAGTGGGTGGGGTTCTTAACCAGTTTTGTATACATCTTATGACAATCGTGTAAAATATTTATCTGCATTCCATTAATTCATTAGTTTTGTTAGACCATTTATGTATAACTATAAATACAATCTACATGTCAATAACTGTGGTTTGCTCTTGCTTATCTTTATAAATTTGCTCCCTTGACTTCAAGAAGGCATTTGACAGCATTTTACATGCAGGAATATTTAATTCACTGAGGGCAATAGAAATAGAGAAAAAATATGTTAGAATAATTAGAGAACTCTATTAGAAAATGTCTGCATATATTATGACAAAGAAGAAAGGTCCAAGCTTTTGGGTGGAAAAGAGTGTGCGGCAAGAGGACCTGTTATCCTCACTTTTGTTTATTCTCGTGTTGGAGATGATATTCCGGTGTCTTGAACAGGAAAACATAGAAATTAAAATAAATGGTAAATGGTTAATCAACTTAGGTTTTGCAGATGACATTGTGCTTTTTGCTAAAGACATGAACAACTGTGGGAATTGCTGAACCATCTTCTAAAACTGTGTGAAGAAATTGATCTTTACCCCAACTACCATAAAACTAGACTAATGACAAATAGGGGAAAAGAAGATTGCAAATTAAATAACCATAGTTTGAAATATCTTGAAGAGTATGTCTATTTGAGTCAGTTAGTATCCTTCCCAGATAGAGGAGCAAAGGAAGTCCAGAGGAGAATAGCACTCTGCTAAAATAAGTTTTAGTCCCTCAAACATATTATGAAAAGAAACATAAGTATTAAAATAAAAAGACAGGTCTTCGACAGTTGCGTAAGTCCAGGAGTTACCTATGGATGCCAAGCTTGGTAATTGACAATAAGAATGTGAGCAAATGGAAATTGGCTGGGCATCTCCTTCGAATCGTAGATAACAGATGGTCAAAAATTACCACAAATTGGACTCCATATGATCTTAAAAGAAGAGGGCGGTAAAAGAAAAGGTGGTGTGAGTGATATATCTGGAAGGAGAAGTGGGCGGAACTCGCCTCCCAATAGGGCTAGTCACCCTGGGAAGTGCTCCTAAAATGGAATGGCTGTGCACAAAAGGATGAAGAAAAGAAAAAGAAAAGAGAGAGAGAAAAAAGCAATCATTATTATTAATTTCTTTTCTTCTCTAAAAAATGTATATATATATATCTTCAAGTTAATTCACCATTAGCCATATTTACACCAATTTAAAAAAATTTGTTGTCACTCAATGACTACTCATCAAAATGACGACGTTTCGGCTCGTCGAGCCATTTTCAAGTCATTTATTGTATTCACAATTGTAAATTTCCAATTCTTCCATACTTCATCCTTCGGCATGTTTTCTGGGTCGTTATTAGGCCTCCCAGTTAATAATATTCACAATATTACTCAATTCTTCTTCGGTGTATACTATTATTTTCAAGTTAATTCACAATTAGCCATATTTACACAAATTTAAAAAAATTTGTTGTCACTCAATGACTACTCATCAAAATGACGACGTTTCGGCTCGTCGAGCCATTTTCAAGTCATTTATTGTATTCACAATTGTAAATTTCCAATTCTTCCATACTTCATCCTTCGGCATGTTTTCTGGGTCGTTATTAGGCCTCCCAGTTAATAATATTCACAATATTACTCAATTCTTCTTCGGTGTATACTATTATTTTCAAGTTAATTCACCATTAGCCATATTTACACCAATTTAAAAAAATTTGTTGTCACTCAATGACTACTCATCAAAATGACGACGTTTCGGCTCGTCGAGCCATTTTCAAGTCATTTATTGTATTCACAATTGTAAATTTCCAATTCTTCCATACTTCATCCTTCGGCATGTTTTCTGGGTCGTTATTAGGCCTCCCAGTTAATAATATTCACAATATTACTCAATTCTTCTTCGGTGTATACTATTATTTTCAAGTTAATTCACCATTAGCCATATTTACACCAATTTAAAAAAAATTTGTTGTCACTCAATGACTACTCATCAAAATGACGACGTTTCGGCTCGTCGAGCCATTTTCAAGTCATTTATTGTATTCACAATTGTAAATTTCCAATTCTTCCATACTTCATCCTTCGGCATGTTTTCTGGGTCGTTATTAGGCCTCCCAGTTAATAATATTCACAATATTACTCAATTCTTCTTCGGTGTATACTATTATTTTCAAGTTAATTCACCATTAGCCATATTTACACCAATTTAAAAAAATTTGTTGTCACTCAATGACTACTCATCAAAATGACGACGTTTCGGCTCGTCGAGCCATTTTCAAGTCATTTATTGTATTCACAATTGTAAATTTCCAATTCTTCCATACTTCATCCTTCGGCATGTTTTCTGGGTCGTTATTAGGCCTCCCAGTTAATAATATTCACAATATTACTCAATTCTTCTTCGGTGTATACTATTATTTTCAAGTTAATTCACCATTAGCCATATTTACACCAATTTAAAAAAATTTGTTGTCACTCAATGACTACTCATCAAAATGACGACGTTTCGGCTCGTCGAGCCATTTTCAAGTCATTTATTGTATTCACAATTGTAAATTTCCAATTCTTCCATACTTCATCCTTCGGCATGTTTTCTGGGTCGTTATTAGGCCTCCCAGTTAATAATATTCACAATATTACTCCATATTACGGTGTAAATATGGCTAATGGTGAATTAACTTGAAAATAATAGTATACACCGAAGAAGAATTGAGTAATATTGTGAATATTATTAACTGGGAGGCCTAATAACGACCCAGAAAACATGCCGAAGGATGAAGTATGGAAGAATTGGAAATTTACAATTGTGAATACAATAAATGACTTGAAAATGGCTCGACGAGCCGAAACGTCGTCATTTTGATGAGTAGTCATTGAGTGACAACAAATTTTTTTAAATTGGTGTAAATATGGCTAATGGTGAATTAACTTGAAAATAATAGTATACACCGAAGAAGAATTGAGTAATATTGTGTATATATATATAATTATATATATATATAATTTATTGCATAAATAAAGGGTATTATTTTATGGAAAATCACATTGGGTTAATATCTAAAACAAAATTGGAACCTGGATGTTGGAGATCACTAAAACATTTGTTTGAGAATGTTTTATTACAAAATATTCATTACGATGGATGTATTAATGTATACGTACATATCTACATATCAGTTGTTATTACTACACATCAGTACATAATTACAATTAGTTGTATATATATATATATATATATATATATATAATATATATATATATATATATATATATATATATATATATATATATATGTGATCATTCATTATATTATTTAATATTTTAAAATTCTGTTCTAGGAAAGATGCCCAGGTGATAGTAGGAGATATAATGAGATTATTCAACATGAAACAATTCGTGTGGCAGTTTGTGGCATGTTGGACAATGATTATGCTCTTAACGTTAGTTACAATCTATTTATTTATTTTATATATTTTTATAACTAAATTAGATATTTTCTTCTTCCTAAGATTAGTTTCTTTAAATTTTCTTGTATTTCTTGAAATATTTATTAATAAAACTAATCTATTCTCACAGAAACAGATGTTTGAACAGTTTTCCTCAATAGAAAATACTTTTGAAAATTTTTACAAGGAGTGTTGTCCTACTTATTTTAGTCCTATTTTAGCCATGAAAACCAAGTATAGTATTATGTGGTCATATATTTTTTCCATTATTCAAGTTTGACCTTTATTCTTTTCACACTTGTTAATTTGCCTTATGATCAGTTCAAATTTATCAAAAACTAATTTGATTATTTAAAACTGACCATAAGGCAAATTAATAAGTGTGAAATTTTTTTTTCTAAAAAGGATTTTTAGAAAACGTTAAAGTGTTACCTAATTAGAATTTAAAAAGTACCATTTCCAACCTGTTTTCGTTTAAAAATTATAAATTTATTTAAATATTATAAATTCATTTTGCTATTAATTTTATTTTTTAATAAAAAGATATCTAACTATCACGGCACTACAACTCGGTGGCTACTCTTGACCTCCTCCACCAGCTTCCTCCAGTCATTTCTGTTCTGTGTGGCCATTATCCAGCAATCATGCAGCCATCATCCAGCTCCTGACTCCTAGGACGTCCCTTGAATCTCTTGCCACGTGGCCAGCCCATCTCAGTCTTCCAAGCCTCATCTTCAGAACGACATCTTGATCATTAAAAATCGAGATTATTTCCAATTTCTATCGATCTGCAATCCTCCAAATATTCTTTGAAGAATTTTTCTCTCAAAGATTACGAGGTCTTGCTCAATTCTTTTATTTATCGTCCATGTTTCTGATTCATACAGCAGGACTGGGTGGATTAGTGTTTTGTAGAGATGTAGCTTGCTCTGTCGGGATAGAAGGCAAGAGGTGAATTCCTTGCGAAGAGCAAAGTAACGCTTGTTAGCCATCAATATTCTTTTCTTGACCTCGACCTTGGGTGCATTGTCTTGTGTTACCAGTGACCCCAAATACTTGAACTGCGCTACTTTCTGAAAGGGGGCCAATATTGATGGTCTCGCCTGGTCGAGGGACTTCTCCTGTGGCCATATATTTAGTTTTCCTTCATCCACTTCTAACCCAAGTGCTCTGGCACCCTTCAACAAAGCTACAAATCCCTCTACAGACTGCAATGACCCCATCATTTGCGATGTCCACATCATTCGCTTAAGCTAATAGCTGAACCATCCGATTTTAAATAGCTCATTAGTTTACAGACCAGAATCCCTCACTGGCTTCTCAAGTACCTAGATAAACAGAAGGCATTCTCACACAAAAATTAGCAAACTGAAGAATGAAAAAACCATTTAAGACATGATTCTTGAATGTTTTCAATGGAGATACTCTGAAGGGTTTGCTTAAAAAGTTGGTGGGATAATGTTTCTTTAAATCTTGTTAAATTAATAATTAACGTGATCTCGGTTCAATCATCTCTCTGCACTACCGTTGGCCTTGTAATAGTACTTCATCACAGAGTACTGAACCCATGACCCTATATGGGATTGTAGTGGTACAGTTGTTTTTATTTTTATTTTTTTATGTTAATGATTTTTATTTGAGTTATTTTTTGTTTAGATTCCAAAACCACTTGTTGAGGCTATGAATCATAGTTTCGTTCAGTTCTATGATTATTATGAATCAACTGTGAAATCTAAAATGCATCTTACAGGATCATCGATGCAGGTAATATTAAATTTTTCATGTAAAATTTTATTTATTTATTGCCTTTACAGTAATTTACATTGATTTTTTACTCTCTAATTTACAATATTGAAAAAATTCAGGATTTTTTGAAATTTAAATTTTCTTATATGTTCAGACTGTAGGTTTTATATTTAAGGCTTTCTATTGATATGTGTTCCACAGTCATATTCATTGTGCACTCTCTCCAGATTTGCTCCAGCTTTCATAATTAGTGTTCCAGTATATTTTATTTTTAATTTATTGAGGAATAGATCAGATATGTTGGACGTCTTGATAAGTTCTCTACTTCGAATCCTAACACAAGAATGAATTGACAAAATAATGCTTGTAGATTCCAATTATTACCACACTTACTTGACAAACGTTTTATACTTGTCATATACCACAAAATACTCAAATACACTGCCATTATCAGACCAGAGTATATGGAATTAAGCTTTGGGGCTCCACAAATCTTAGACTTCTTCCCTTATCTTGTCCTTACAGGCCAAAATCTTCCATAGAATCCTTAATGCTCTATATTATGTTACAAATAATATTATCCATAAAGATCTCAGTCTTCTGTTTGTTACAGATTTGGCTCAAAATGTATATTCCTCTTAAAATTCTAAACTCCTTAGCCATCCAAACCTCCTAGTTCCAAAGCTGACAACTGTCATAAACTTTTGACAACTCTCTTGAAGCATTTGAAAAGAAGAAGGCCAGAGACCTTTTAAATTTAAATAATCTTTGATGTGTTACCTATGGGTAGTTGCTCCACAAGCTACTTTCATGTTTTATATTCTTGTTGCAGATTTACTTATTTCTTTTTATTTATACACTTGTAAGGTTCAATAAGTGAATAAAAAGAGATTCCTAGAAGTTAAAAAGTCTTAGCTGTCTTAAAATTAGGCGCAGTTCTTATTTTTACATATATATTTTTAAAATTTATATTTTTATTTTTTATTTAATCTTTATTTGTTCTCAGGGAAGAACCCCATACAAATAGAGTCTATCTATATTATAAACATTATTAACCTTATTGTATTTTTTTTATGCCACATTATAAATATTACAATAATCTACTAAAGGATAACTTAAAAATCACATTTATTAAAAAGTCAGATAGTTAAAACAATGCCAAATATCAACATCAGTATAAAATCTAAAATTATCAATAGAACTCATAACAGTAATAAATAAATTTTATGCTTTAAATATTAATATCAAATCATATACTAAAATTAAATTACCAGATCATTCATTTAAAGAAAGTAACAAACAAGAGAACAAGACACAAACAAATCCATTCAACATTTATCTTAATCCATGCCGACATCCAATACACATTTTTATTACAATACTCAGAGGACAATATTTTAGATTACCCCACCATATCTCTGTAATTACATTTATTAGAGATGAAAAAAAAAAATAATTTTCTCATATCTTCCATAGTGGTAGGCTTGAATATTTCGATCCCATTAAGATTTCCCATACCCATGTAAGTTCTTATTCTCCAATTATTATATACATTGAAATAATCGATAATAAAGTGTTTCTTTTTCCATTGTATTCCACATTTTGTACTCAAGTTGTGGATTGATTTTTAATTTTGATTGTTGACTTAAATTTTAATCAAGTATTTTCCAGAGAGACTTATCTGTATTAATACTCTGATATATTTGAAATTAGCCGGCATCAGTAGGTACTAGGAGATTGTACCATTGTTAAAAAAAAGGTTCAAATGTTCACTGTAAACTGAACTATGCAATGCTTTCTTGTCATCCTCCTGCAATTGTTGTTTATATTTGTTTAAGATCCTGTTAATATTAGCTCTAATTATGACTAGGTCAGTTTCATAAACTAAATTGCCTTCCTATATAGTATCTTATAATACTTTCCGCTGAGCACACCAATTATATTTTGAAAGAACAGAATTAGATTGGTAACATTTGGTTCTTAGATTTTCAATACATATTTTAGGATATCTACATTCCTCCATTTCCACAAGCCTAACCAACCAATTCAAGCAATACTTCATAACATTGAAACCAATATGAATAGAACCTGTTTCTAAACATATTAAAAAATCTGGAATGGATTTACAAAGAGAAAATGTCTTTTTAAAAAAATTTATGTTGACCTTTTCTAAGAGGTCTATGTATCGTTGACTGTACCTGAACACAATATAACAAAGCTGTATTAATGATAGTTTTTTCAACTTTTGTCTCGCCTTCCATGAGTTCGTTTTGGCTTTTGAAGAAATGGTTAGTACAATGCCTATTGTCGAGTTTGACTTTAAGATTGCTCTCTAAACTGCTTGCAAAAACAAACCAGACCTATAAAAGTAGACTCGTAAATTATTGTAGGTGCTGACTGTATCAATCATTTCTCCTTCCAAATATGTATTATTATATTTTTTTGGGCACACCCTGGAAAAATTCAAAATTTTAATTTTATTAATGTTTATGATTAGTTTATATTCTCTCTGCAATATTCATTTAGAATATTAATTATTTTTGCTAGTTCGGTATAGGAATCGGCAAAAATAACCATGTCATCTACAAACAAGAGAAACAATATGTCTATCCATTCTTCAATAATAACCTGACTTCTTATACCTATACCTGACAGGTTATGCCTCGATATTCGATAAGAAGAGATTAAACTGCATAGGACTCAGCGTCTCTCCTTGTAGTATACTTTCAGTAATTTTCATGTTTTGCGATAGTCCTCCAGTAGTTCTTTTTATTTGTGTATACGCGTTACCATTCATGTTTCTAAGAATTCAGATTATTTTTCCACTCAAACTTGTAGAAAAAAGTTTGTGCCATTGTAAGTTGTGATTGATGGAGTCAAAAGCCCGACGAAAATCAACAAAAAGAATGAAAAGATTAGATTTCTCTCTTAAAAATTGGTTTTGAGTAATAGCATTCAAGGCAAAAACATTATTCAATTTCTCCTGTTTCTGAATCCTGATTGGCATTCCGGTATAATTCTGCTTTCTTTGACCCATAAAATGATTCGTTCCAGCAGGATTTGGGTAAAAATATTAAATTCATATATTCTACAATACAAGTTGATAAACCAAATTTATGGAATATGTCAAATAAAGAAAAAGAAAAAAAAAAAAAAAAGATAGCCAATCCCTCTTTTTATTTCTGTTAGCTTTTAAGAAAAAAAAAATTATTTGATGGGAAAATATTTAATTCAAATGGCATTGTCATTAAACTTTTAATAATCAATGGCTAATCAATAAAAATAATAATACAAGCTGGAAATAATTTCAAGCAACTCCTGATAAATGGATATAATGATAAATTAAATTTGTATTTTTAAATTGTATTTTTGTAATATCTAGCCAGTTTATGGTTATATATCTAGTGTTTATTGTTTACTTTTATAATTTCAATTAAGTAACCTATTGTGTATGAAATAGGACCCTTTTGGCGAGCAGAGAGGTGTTTTCGATTACAAAGGACTTTTAGAAAGGCTGGAGACAATATATAAGAGACTTAAAACAAAATCGACCCCATCCTCCAGTCCAAGCTGCAGTCCAGAAAGTGATTAGAGACCTAGCTAGAAAGGCTCTCACTTTGAGTGTAAAATATTAAACTCTTAAAATTCTTCCTTAAGCGCTAATAATAGGCTGTCATCACATTATTTTAAGTATTGAAAAATGGTATATACTAACTTAAATTTCAGACTTTTCTAATTTATTTTAGAAAGAAAACACCTCAAATAAAATTATTTGTGGATATGCTTAAATAAATACTACCAACCTTTACTTAACATTTGTCAACGGTTAAATTATTTTAAAAGAACTTCATATGCTGAATAAAGTAACCATGTATTTTATTCTACTTTATTTTCATTTTTGCATTAAGTCAAGAAATGTTGTCTATGAGCAATATTATGATTTTTAATATTTTTATTAGAGCCTCCTAAATGTTGAATGATTAAATATATCCCCTTTATGGTATACTCTGCATTGTATTTGTCAATTGTACATATTTGTAAGTAAATTAGGTTTAAATTACTATAGCATGTAAAAGAGAGGCACACTTTTTCCAAAGGATGTATTTATTTAAGGCATTATAGAGGCTCAGGCTTATTTCTGTGATTAAGTTATTATTATTTTTATTTTTTTTATGCACTAATAATATAACCAGACTGTGATATTTCTGAGATTTTCTCAGTAAAATTGACTAAAATCATAAATTCATAGATCTCTTAACTATCTATTGAGAATGATCTCTCAAATCATGGGCAGTTTGCTGTTTCCAATATAAGTAGTTGCAATCATTTTAAATACCTTATAACTGGAAATCCTGTTATCTGGAAATGTGTATTAGAGAGCTTGAATTATGATTTGAAATATTTTATCTAAGTGATGAAATGAATTACCACCTTTTGACAAGCTATATAATTTATTTAAAAATATAATTGTAAAAGACTAGGACATTGATGGCTAAGAAGTAATTGTTTGTATCTTCAAAATGATTGCTTTACTGTAAGAGGAAAAAAAAACTGTTTTCAAATGTAATTAAATATCTAAAAATTGTCTTTGTTTTCCTGTATTTTTTATTAGTTACTTACATTACTCTTGCCACTGGACTTATGGACTGACTGCCACACCCCATTTTAAAATTTAAATATAACTGCCCTCCGAGGCGTCCTTTTGTAAATACATTTTAGAGTGCTACCAGTGGGTAGTTTCTCAACAAGTGATTTCATGTTATTATATTCCTTTGTTCTCATTTTCTGAATGTATTTTTAATTGTAATACAGTTTTAAATATAAATAAAAAAAAAAAAAAAAAAAAAAAAAAATATATATATATATATATATATATATATATATATATATATATATAAACTGAATAGGTAGGAAGTCTGAGCTGTAAACCACGTGGCCTGCCCAAACTTAATCAGCTTCAGCCTCTGTCAGTCCAAGGATTGACCAAAGCCAGAGCCGGTTGGTAGAACCAATATAACATCCCTAGTTAGATATGAGAAGTTCTATCATGTCTATATTTTAATAAATTTCTTTATCTACTACCCTTTCAGCTATAGTCAGTTGTTCTTACTGATATCTTCTTTTCTAGTCAAGAAAAACAACAAATAAATATGTGCATTTAAAATTCTATGGAGTCGCTATCTATTCAGTTTCTTTTACACTTCTGAGTTGAGCCTAGCCGGTCTAAGTGGGCACCGTGCTTAAGTAGGCATATCAAAACTCAATTTTTATCAGGTTTTTAACAGTTTTCTGTTAATGATGTTATTTATCCATCAGATACTAGATGTCATTATATTATTATGCATAACATCATCCTGACATACAAAATACGAGGTTTCATCAAGCAGTGTGTAGTTTCATGATATTAACGAGGTTAAAACATGAAATATAAGCTTATTTGGTTGTTACAATATATTACTTCTTAGCTATTTATATACTCTATTTTAAATAATTTAAAAAAAATATTCTAATTAACCAACCTTCAACAGTAGATGCATAGTGCTGGTCCATAATCCAACTATGGCATGTATTTTTTAGATGGAATTTTAGCTCCATCCAGGGCTATATGCGTGAGGGTATTCTGAGTTTTTCAGGAATTACTCTGGCCCTGGTTATAAATCCGGCTTTTTTAATTTTATATTTTCCTTTTTTTTTTAATGTTTTTGGAGAAGAGGTTAGAAGAAAAAGCACAATAAAATGTCAATTGTAGGCATTTACTTTCTATATTTGTAACAAGGCTCTGCTAGCCTCATTTTCCTGTCACAGTTCCAACTGCTCCAGTGATAGGTTTGTCACTGTTCCAAGGTATCAATTTAGTTCCCCCTTGTTGTGAGAGCTTTGACAATTGCGAAACCTTTAGAGCTTAGTATATAATAGAACCTTACCACCATCACTACAATCAATGAACTTCCCGAAATGGAAAGTGAACTACTACTGACTCACTAAAATTATAATAAATTATTAAAAGTTGAAATTGCTTATTTGAATGTAGTATTAATATAATTAAGGGATTTAAATGTAAATTAATTAGATTTTAAAATGTTATTTAAAATATCTAATTTATTACCAATCTAATTTAAATATACATTTTTATCAATTTTCTTAATTAAATCTTCAACTTACCTGTATCACTCACTCCCTTTTGGTGATATAATTTGTAATTATTCAAAATCTATTCCTGCAGCTTTACCTTGAAAGTAAAATAATATCATAAAAGTTTATTTATTATAATGACTAAATGATAAAAGTGTTGAGCATGAATTGTTATGGAACCATGGAATAGTGACAACTGCAGCTATTGAGTTCTATAGTTTCATATTTCCTCCTGCTCCAATTCTCCTCAAGATCCAGTTTTACCGATCCCTTTAAACACTAGAAGCAGTATGGAACTGTGACAGAGCTGTACCTGAGTACATATGTTTAGGATGTACCTGCGTCTTAATATTAGCAGACAGGAACTATGCACATTAATTTGATATATTTATAAAAAATTAAACAAAAAAAAAAACTAAAAAAAAAGTTGTTAAAAGTATTAAAAACTTTTTAAAATATATTTATTTATTTAGGGATTAGAAATTTCCTTGAACAACCACGTTATTATTTTGAACCTCTTTTAAATAAGGAAGGCTTTTAATAAACAGCATACGGTATGTTGTACCTTTTTTTTGTTTTACGATCTTTCAGCATTACATCCTATTGTCTTTCAGCTGGATTTCTAGTACTGTATTTAGAAGGTGATCTGAATGAACTGTTCCCACAATATTTTGTTGTAAAGTTGGTGAGAATTATCCAAATTTTCTGACCCGAGACAGACTTTCATGCTGAGAACAACTTCCTGATCTTTTTCTCTAATATTGTGGCTAAAAATATGTTTCCTTTGATCACCCATCAAAGTTTGTTTGACTTCAAATAAGTAAGATGGAATGTTTGGTAAAACATAGTCGCCAACTTTTGCTCTTAAGCAATCTTGTAGCATATAATGTTTATATGTATTTTCTGATTGTAAAATATCAAAATTAAATGTTTTCAAAACTATTTGATATTTTTTTTTAGTTGAACAATGTTTTATTGTTCTCAGTTTTTCCTTATATGGAAGATTATTAATGGTGTTATAAAAATTAGGTACTGATGAATCACCATTATCCCTCTTCCTTCTTGGCCTCTAAGGTGTTTCATCAAAATGATTTTTATTTTTAAATCAATTTGGAATCATATCTGTCATTGAAATCAAATAAAAAAATGAATTCTCTATTGTTTATCAATACACATGGGTTTTTAAGTCTTTTTCACTTAGCCTAAAAATTAAGGGCTTTTGCACGTAATATCTAAATCTACAGTTTCACTAAGATTTTCATTGGCTCAGCTTAATATTTATAGTTGAACCTCATTGTATTGAACTTGAAATTAAAAAAAAACAAAATTGAAACATCGAAAATTAGAATTGTTCATCATTGATATGCTTTTATATACAATTAAGTCAACTAAAATTAAATTAAATTTTTCGGGGTTGAAAAATTTTGTTAGTTTTTAAGAAAATAATTCTTTAAACGAACAAGTATGTGGAATTTTACTTTAAAAATTATGGATTATATGCAGATTTTCTACATACATTTGTATTTAATAAGTATATATACTAATAATATATGTATGTTTATATATATTAAAATGAATATATGATATTTTTTATTTTTCATTTATCCTCTTATTTTCATAACGATAGATTTTCATATTATATAGCTTTAATTTTTCTTTGATATATAGAAGGTTAGTTAGGTGTACATGGATGTTTTTTTCTCATAAAAATTCAAGGCTTTTGAGAAAATTTGAAGTTTTTCAACTATAGAGTATCCATTTATAGATGTCTCAATGCATTTATAATACATATATGTAGACAAATTTTATATTCTTTAACAGCAAAATCTGTGATTTATTCTTATGTTTCGTATTATAAGTATTATGTTTGTATCCTTGATAGTGATTCTAGTTATGCGAAAAGGTTTGGACCAAAATCTGAAAATCTATGACCTATATAGGTAAGTAAACTTAAAAATTACGGCATAGTTTTATGGAAACTGTCATTGCAATATTTGAATATTTTTTCATTGCAAGTTCAACATTGCCTAAAATTATATATCCGTACTTATAATACATGTAAAAAGATAGATAACTGTTTTGGCCATGTATAATTTTTTTCATTGTAATTAATCAAAGGCCTACAAAATATTCTGTAGTGTTTTAGAATCATTAGATTAAAATTATAATAAAAAATAATTTAAAAAAATTCTTATTTTGTTTTTAATAGTTGCCTATAATATAGTTCTCTCCAATAGCGCGGTATATATGTTCCTATAAAATACCGTGTTATATATGTACTTGTAAATTATAATTTTTAAAGTAATGAGTCTTACAAAAAATAAATTAAAAACACTGTGTAGAAAAATAATTGAGCATTGAGTTGTGCAGTATAATATATGTAGAAGTACTCTTATATTTATTAGTGATTTTAAAGATAGAATCATTATTATATTTTTTAATTAATTCTCAGTGATGATTAAAGTTTGAAGTTAATACTTTTTTCTTCTTTAAATCAAAATTTTTATGCTTTTTAAATTTAGAAAATTTTGTTACAGAACAAAGGTTTATCATGGTTGACTCCTCCATTGTACCAATTTCAAGGTAAAAGAAAA